AGACAGCTATTCAAAAAGCTGGATGAAGCATTACGAGCAACATGTTAACAACAACAAAAAAGGGAAGGCTTAAACTCAGGATGAGGTTTTTCCACAGAGGTAGGCTAGAAATTGATAGTGGAGACAACAAATGTACTTTTTTTCCTGACTCAAGAATAAAAAGAATGCATTTCAACTGTATTCTGGGAAAAGAATGAATGCTTCCCAACATTTTGGTTACCCCATCCATGGAGTAGGTCCCTAATTTTAAAAAAAGAAATGTCCAATGGTGTTGCTGCTCATAACCTAACTTGTTAGACCCCTGCTGCAGTCAGCAGCTCCACAGCTACAACTTGCAACTGTTCAAACTAGTAAATAGTAACATTTAAGGAAATAAAATTACTGTAAAGAGCATAAATTGCAATTAAAGAAAAATTTGCATGCTTTTGCACCAATAATGACATATAAAGTAGGGTTCTGAGTCTTAAACCTGTAATAGGAAAATATTATGATAGTTAATAAGATAATCTCAGTCAAAAGATGCTAAAGCAATAATTGCAGATTTTTTTTAAAAAAAAGTGTTTATGGGCATTTCTTTCAACCTGTTCAAAGTAGATCTTACAGTACATGCATTATTACATGCTCAAAATAACTGCTACGCAACCAGCCTGACATAGAGTTGGTTTTAAGATGCAGATTCTTTTTTTCTTTTTAATGAGGCGAGAAGACTGTTGGTCTGGAAAATATTATTTGTATTGCATATTTTGCCACTTCTACTACATAATTATTCAGGTTTAGACTGGAAAGGATTAACTGTTATATTTAGAGTGTAAAATTGGATAATAATGCACAGACTAGACATAATACTGGACATACACTGGCATGCAATGCCCTGATAACTCTGGTTTTGTTTGCAATTCCTTTATAGCTGGACTGCACAGATGGGCTTTGGAATGTTTTTTGGGGCATAACCAAGAGAGAACAACAGGAGACCAGGAGACAACCAACCAAACTTCCTTTCCTTTCCTTTCCCTTTCCCTTTCCTTTTTGATTTTAACTTAATAAAATGCAATCCTTACAAATATAAAGTGCTTTTCCTACCATTATAAACATTACAATTTGGTTGCCACAACTTCCAAAAATTGTTAATCACAGACTTTGAGGGAAGCTTCATGTTGCAACTCTATAACTTCATCAAGCAAACAGAAATAAATTATCATGTTGGCTGTGGCCAGGATAACATAGGAGCTATATGTCTCTGTAAGTTTTGGGTGCAGTTCCCAGAATCCCTCCAAAAGCTTCTGGCCATTTTATTTATTTATTTTTAAAATTTTATGGTACTTCCAATTTAAAAAGAAATCTCAAAATGGTTTACAATTAACAAAGCAGGACAGAATTAATGGTAACTTTTAATATGACACAAGAGGATGTCAGAACAAATGCAAAGACTTGGCTTTATAGATGAGAAAGGTGGGAAAAGAGAGGAATAGAATAGAATAATTAGATTAGACTAGACTAGACTAGACTAGACTAGACTAGAATAATTTTATTGTCACTTTGAATGTACACTAACTGGCATACATTAAAATGAAATTTCGTTGCATTCAGCTCTCAAAGGGTCACCACCTCCAATATACACTACATAAATATGACAAAATTAAATACAGAATTATGCACATACCCACATATATTATATGACACAGAGAAACAACACAGTCTAGTTCAGATTATGTATACATGTGCATGGCGAAAAAAGAATCTTGCGAGTTTACCAGACAACTATCATAGGGAACAAAGTTATTACAGAATTGGGTAGTCCTGCTAGAAATACTTCAAAACCTCCTCCCAGAGGGGAGCAATAAAAACAGACCGTGAAGTGGGTGCGTGGAGTCTTTACTAGTGCTTTGAGCTCTAAGCACATAGCGCTTATTAGTAGCATCCTGAATACCAGGAAGCGAGCTTTCTATGATCTTCTCAGCTGTCCTTACCATTCTCTGTATGGGTTTTCTATTTGAAGCACTGCTGCCACCAAACCAGAAAGTGATGCAGTTTGTTAAAATACTCTCAATCGTGCCTCTGTAAAAGGTGGCCAGGATAGAAGGAGAGAGATGTGCTCTCCTCATCTGACGCAGAAAATACAGATATTGCATTTGCACGCTTCACTAAGGATGAGGTGTGGAGAGACCAATTCAGATTGTTAGTTATCTGCACACCCAGATATTTAATATTGTTGACCACCTCTACAGCTGCATCCTTGATACTGAGTGGAGTATGACTATACCGGCTCTTTCTAAAATCTACAATAATCTCCTTTGTTTTATCAACATTTAGAACCATATTGCACCTGTCCACCAGAGCCTTCACCTCTTCCCTATAAGCATCTTCATTGTCATCCAGGATAAGACCCACCACCGTGTCATCTACATGCTTCACAATATGATTTGTAACAGATTTGGTACAGCAGTCATGAGTCATCAAGGTGAACAGCAGCGGACTCAGGACACAGCCCTGTGCGGAACCGTACTCAAGGAGATGGAATTGGAAACTTTCTTTCCAACTCGGGCCCATCAATAAGGAAATCAAGTATCCAATTACATAAAGGAGTATTAAAACCTAATAGGCCCAGTTTGTTCACCAGATGTTGAGGAATGATTGTGTTGAATGCCGAACTAAAATCAACAAACAGCATTCGCACATGAGTATTCTTCCCCTCCAGGTACACCAAGCTAAAGTGAAGCACACAGGAAAATGCATCTTCTACAGAGCGATAATTACAGCAGCAATGAATACACTTTTAAAATATCTAATATTCCTTCCTGCCTTAACCAGTAGACCAAATTGGCTTCTTATTCCATTTATTATGATTATTATTAGGCATATAACTTTATTATTATGTGATAAAATATATTAAATATTTAAATTACACTGCATTATAAAATTATAATAAATATAAATATATTAAAAATGTAAAACATATAATCATTATTATCTGTTCAGAAAATGAGATCATAGTTGTCAGTTCTTTAGCTGGTGTTGGCTTTCATGCACACTGAGTTCTTCCCCAAAACCTAGGATGTTGTAATGTACATAATACATGTGCAGCTCCAAGCAGTGTGGCTTTTTGCAATTGACAGATGGAAAATTTGTCGATTATTAATTATTTTAATAATAAGTACCATTATTAATCAATACTACCAATAATTACTTATTATACTTATGTCACATAATCAAAAGGAACCAGAATTTTTAAAATGCACCATAGGCTAGCACTTGGTAGAGCAGCGATGAAGGCCTTGGAAAAGATATTCAGATATCCTGAAATGTTTACACAAAGATCAGAATTGTGCATATAGTCACTTTCCCTGAAACACTTTGGAAGTGAAAATTAGACTTTGTAGAAGCAAGACAGAAAAATTATTGCTAACTTTGTTGTTGGAGATGATGAGAATATCATGGATACCAAGAAAACAAACAAAGGGATGGCTAAACAAGTCAACCCAGAGTTCTCACCTGGGAACAAATGAACAGGTTGAAATTATCATATTCTGCATACCTCATGCAAGAACCTATCTCTTCTGAGAAGTGTGAAATGCTAAAAAAGGTGCAAAGGAAGAGGGTGATCTGTAGCAAGGTGGATGGATTTCATTACAGCAGCAATGGTTGCATTGTAGGAAGTCCTGAAGGGCCAGGCCAAATCATCCTGAAGAAGGTAGAGTTGTCCTCAATTTACAACCGCAATTGAGCCCAAAACTTCTGTTGCTAAGTGAGACAGTTGTTAAATGAATTTTGATCCATTTTACGACTTTTCTTGCCAGTTAAGTGAATCATTGCAATTGTTAAATTAGTAGCATGGTTGTTAAGTGAATCTGACTTTCCCATTGACTTTGCTTGTCAGAAGCTCACAGAAAGTGATCACATGACCCCAGGATACTGCAACCATCACAAATATGAGTCAGTTGCGAGCATCTGAATTTTGATCAAGACCATAGGGATACTGCAATGGTCTTGTGAAAAAAGGCCATAGACGAATTGCTCCTATATTTTCATTCTTCTTGAAAAGCGCGCTGAGGAAATGATTGTGAGATGTCACGATTCTAAGAAGGGAGTGAGAAATAAATGAGCATGCCACAAGAACGGGTGCTGCAGGTGACCTTGACTGTGGATTGCTGATGAAGTGTGGCCCTTCACAGGTAGCAATTTTGCGTGCCTGTTCAGAGGATAAGTCCAATTATTTCTGAACACTCGATTAAAAGGCACCTTTACACTTGCGTAGGTTTGACTTTTCACGCCCTTTCCCTTGCAGTAGCATCCCACTTTAAACCGACTGCAATCAAGGGCCGGAAGTCTTTTTACTACATTATGACGACCCACACTCTTTGATCGACGGGTATCTGCTTTGTTTGGGTGTTCCCTTCCCTCACTCCCACGTCGATGTTCGTCGTACGCACGCGCAAAGCAGACGCGAAGAGAGCGCCGCACGCTTCGGAGAAATGCGCCAGGACCCACGCGTCCGCACGCGCGCACGCTGTCAAGTTAACCCATCCTTCCTACCTCCTTGTGCCGGCGTTCGCCGATGGGTCGGCGGCACGCATGCGCAGTAGTGGGCAGCCGCCGCCGCCGCTGCTGTGTATGTCCGTCCCTCTCTTTCTGTCTTTCACTCGCCATGTTGTGAGCTTTCTTTACGTTGACAACGACGGTGGCGGCGGCAGAGGTGGAGGTGGTGGAGGAGGAGGAGGGGGAGGGGCGGTGGCAGGAAGGCAAGGGTGGCAGGGAGGGGGCAATTGGATCGTTATTGGCAAGAGTCTTCCGGGAGGAAGAGGGAGCCCCCTCCTTTCCGTGTCCGTTACAACAAACAGCGCTGCCCGCTCACCCCAGCTCGTGAGTATCCAGCCTTTGGGGGGTGGGGTGGATGGAACGGAGGGACAGCGCGCGAGGGAGGAGCAACAGGGTCCCCCCCCCGCTCCTCCCGCGCGCCTTTCCCGTCCCACACAGCAGCTCACCCACGTTCTTTTGTTTCGGTCCCGAGGAAAGAGCGGCTGCAGCTGCCCGGGCCTGGCTGGTGGTTTTGCACAGCCTCGCCTCCTTCCCTCCCCCCCACCTTCCTTTGTGTTGTGGGGAAGCAGGCCTGTTAGGCAGGCCCGGGCTGGCCGAAGCGAGGAGGAAGCCATCCATGTAAAGGGGTGGGGGGAGCGTGCAGCCGAGAGAAGAAAGGAAGACGGTCCGTGTGGGTGTGGTGGTTGGAACGAGCCAGTATGGTGCTAGTAGGAACGTTTGACCGGGTGGGTTTGTTTCCGTTTCTCTCTCATTGTTATGGCTGCGTTCGGGCGAGGAGGAGTCGAAGACGCGGCTTGCGTATAAATAGGAGAGAGAATGGTGGAAGTGGCAGGCGATCTTTTTAATGGAAGGACCGTTTAGGAGGGAACTGGGGGGGGTGTTTTCGTTGGGAGGTGTGCTTCAGCTCTTCCATCCCTCTGATTTTTCCCACCAAGTCTGAGGAGGATGTGTGGGACAAACGGAGGGGGAGTGTTGACCGAGCAGACATCATTTGCAGAAAGGAGTGTTTGAGGGCCTATTCTTTGGTACGAAATCGAGCGACTGGAAGGAGGAATGGGGCTCTGAAGATACAGTGGATTGGTCGTGAATAAATATTTTCTTTGTTTCGGAGACAGGATTTGTCTGCATACTCGGCGTTTCTCTGCAAGCGTTAACGTTGGATAGCTAAAATGTCAGAATCTTAGCATGGGTCTTTTAAGCAGGGAATCTGAATGGTAACTGATCGCTTGCTTTCATTGTAGTCTGTTGTTAACCTGAGAAAGGGTGAATGAATGCATGGAAAGGAAACAGTGCTTGAAGTGGAGAGAATAATCAGTAGAATTCCCTTCTGCTTGAAAATTTGTGAAAGGGACAGCCTCAGTATTTTAAAGGTCTGTTGTAGTAGTCCTAGTTGTAAATAGATATATGGTTTGTTTGCCACTTTGAATTATAAATGATCCTTTGGAGACGCTTCTTTATAAGATAATAATTCTTAGGAAGAAAATACAGCAAATTGAACGATTCCAAGGGACACTTCAGCTGTTAATTTAGATTCTACTTAGTTCCATTCTCTGTATTTGTATGGCACTGTATATTTAAACTGTAAGATGACTTTGTGAGTTAGGTTCACAGAACATATTAGGCTAAAATATTGGCTGGTGATTGCAGTTCAATATGTTGTGCTATTATATTGATTGTAATATTTGGTGTAGTTGAACACTCCATTCTTATAGAATTTTTTTTAAGCTTAAATTAAATGAAATGTGTAAGAGCTGTTTGTTTTGGTGCCTGTGGGGAAAATCTCTGGAAAGTGCAGCTAGATGTTATAAATGATACAACAAAGCTCAACAAACAGGAAATAAATAGTGTGGGGAAACTGTGTACTATAGTTTTTAGGGTGTAACAAGATAACTGTGTAAAAAAAAAGTCCTTGAACTTTGCCTGGGTTAAAAAATAAGATATTCTAATATATTTGTGAATCATAAAGCCAGGCAGATAAGCATGTGTTTCACTGTACAATTTTAAATCCAAGTAACTCAAATCTGTGTGATGTGTGAATAAAACAAGCAAATGTTTAAAATATATAAATATAGTTCTGAATAGCATTTTCCTTTTTTGTCTTTAGTAAATATTTTTGTAGAATACATATGATGCAGATGATAGTAAATTTTATTTTATCTAATGTTACAATTAGAAAAACTTTTTTCAGAATTCTTGACGTTCCTTTCACTATATATTGAATAATGCAATTCATATTGTTTAAAAATGGGTAGTTTAAACAGTACACTTTATTGTACATTTTATTGAAAAATCTAGATTATTTAGTGTTGGAGGGACAAAATATATAAACATGCATTTGTTCACAAAGAGACCTATAGGGTTTATCTATGTCAAGAAACACTGTTAGCTTGGAGATTCTTCATGATTCAGTAAAATTGAATATTCATTTAAAAAACAAACCAAAAACTTTGTACTGTATCTAGAAATAACATATATTGAGAGTAGCCACTTTACTTTCTCTATAGAGTTCTGTGTCAAGTAGCATTTGAAAAAGTATGTCCAATTAATGCCCCTCTCCCAAATATTCTGTCCTGATGCTATTCTGGCTCTTATTATTTTTATTTTATTTATATATCAAATTTAGGGACTGTCACTCAAAGCAACTTGTGGAATAGAATGGAAGGGACATTTGGAAGGAGAGGTGCTGCCCTACATTCACAATAATTTTATTCTCTGTGTTGACAAACTATTTTCAAGAAACACTCATGGGAATAAATGGAAAAGCTTCAATAGCTGTGATATTTTCTGTGTATTAAGCCTAGGACTCAAGGGGAAAAAGCATAATGCTTAAAACCCCCAACCCAAGCTGTTAATGTCCTTATAGCTCACATTAATCACATCTTTGCAAACATTGTTTTTCTATATTATTCAAGACCTAGAAAGAGATAGTGTTCTAATGGCAGTGGGGTCTTTTTTCCCCTCATAGTGATATAACAATGCCTGTGACTCAGCCAAGATTGAACCTACCAGTGCTAGTCCAGAAAAAAAATTGGATGTCTTCTTGTACCTTACATAACACTTACCTAGCTTTGTTTGTTTTAATCATGGTGCACAGATAAAAGGAAGAAGACCTACATAGCTTTTTTTGGTTGGAATTCCCACATTGAAAATGTATGTCCCTGCTCAGTTCAGAAAAGAAAAAAATGTGAAGTATAGGGAATTTGAACAAGCAAAGAACCCTGCTTTTACTGACTTGTTTGCTTGATCGGTATCATTGATGTCAGAGGCAAAATTGATGGATTGAAACCCATACTGTAAATATCAGAAGACAGTTTCCATGTGGTTGAGCATGACAGAAATATAAATGCCAGGCATATGTTGCTCAGGCTAAAGATCCAATCATGTATGCTACAATCATGTGAATTGTAGAAGAAGCCTTTCTGGAAAGTTCTTAATCACAAAGTGGGTCTTTCATTTCTGTATGGAACTAAGTGTGCTGTAGATCATGTTACTGTGGAGTGCAGTCTATGAAGAGCGAAATATAAACTGAGGAAAGAACAGTGTTCAGCACTTGCAGAGTTCCTGGTTGCACAATGGGTTATGTTTTGGTCAAGAAATTAGAAGAAAGTGAATGAAGTCACTAACATTCATCACCAGTATTAAAGCCTGTAAAGGCAGTCCTCGACTTACAGTCATTTATTTAGTGGCTATTTGAAGTTATAATAGCACTGAAAAAAGACTTATGACTGTTTATCATACTTATGACTGTTGCATCCTCCTTGTGATCATATAATCAAAATTTGGACACTTGACAATTGGTATATATTCATGACAATTGCAGTGGCCTGGGGTCATGTGATTACTTTTTGTGACCCGACAAGCAAAATCAATGAGAAAGCTAAATTCACTTAACAACCACGTTACTAACTACATTGAATTACTTAACATTACTTACTAGCATTGAATCTCTTAACAGCTGTAGCAAGAAAGGTGGTAAAATGGGGCAAAAATCACTTAACAACTATCTTGTTTAGCAACATAAATTTTGGGCTCACTTGTGGTCATAAGTAATAGATATGGCCATGTACCTTTTCTGTTTGCAGAGTTGATTGTGGCATGCAGTTAAATTATAGATTGGTCTATTTCTTACGCTCTGGTTTTGGTGCTGCAAGCCAAATAAGGGCAATGAGTGTTGACCCTGTAGCTATAATTATTAGAATGGAAGACATTACTTTTGTCATCAGAAAGTCCACCTATTTGAAATGCATCTTTTGTAGTTGAAGGATAATAATTTCTTCTGATGAGGAGCATTAATGATGATGTTTGGAGAAAAAGTGATATTCATATATAAGTGAAGGGCTTGCGAATAGGGGATAATTATAGGTAGTCCTCAACTTACAACCACAATTGAATTCAACATTTATGTTGAGTGAGAAATTTGTTAAGTGAGTTTTGCCCCATTTTATGACTTTTCTTGCCGCAGTTCTTAAGTGAATTGCTGCAGTTGTTAAATGAGTAATATGGTTGTTAAATTAATCTGGTTTCCCCATTGACTTTGTTTCTCAGAAGGCCACAAAAGATGATCACATGACTTTGGAACACTGCAACCATCAGTGTTGAGCATCCAAATGTAAATCACTGACCATGGGGATGCTGCAATGCTTGTAAGCATGACAAATGGTCAGAGGGCCGCCAACCCATAAAATGGTGAAGCAATTTTTTGAAGTAAATCCTTCAACTGAAACTCACTTCTGGTTCAAACAATTTACTTTCAGAAATCTGCATACTGTATTTAAGAACATCATGGTCTAGAGAAGGATCTGTTATGTTTTAGACTACTCTATTCTTAAATTACTGAGTTTTGTATGTTTATATTGAGACAGTAATTTTGTCATTATTTTTTTCATATCCATGGAATTCATAAATTTACCTTGTGCTAATTCATTGGTTTGAAGTAAAATGGGAGAATCTGGGAGAATATAGATAGTACCATAAATGTGATATACTGCTGATACCCGTAGCACAATTCTGTCATGTTGCAAATTTTCATTGGCAGAACAATTCTAAGAACATATTTTGCCTTCTATGCTATCTTTAATATTGCAATATAACATAGATTTCATTTGGAGTATTTCTGCTGTTTTTATCCATTCCCACATTTCATAAATGTGAAAATACTTTGAATTTTTCAGATATGCCGAGTATGCTAGAAGTTTGAGTTTTAAGAGTTTGTTGAATATTATTAAAATAGAAGACAGCCCTTCTTTCAGGCAGATTGAACTATATGCAATCTCACAGGAACAAAAAAAAAAAAAAACCCAAAGTGTGCAGATAGCCTGAGTTCCAAGTGATGTTTTTGTGAATCTCTGACAAAAATTTGTTTGTTTCAAAGTTCTCATTATTCCCTAGGACAGAACTCTTTAAATGGTTCATCTTCCATTCTACTGTGAAAGGATGCAACTCTGACAGACTTTTGTAAACTGGAATTGTTTTGTCCTAAGCTTGCACACCCATGTAAAAAAAATAAAGATTAAAAATCACTGAATTTTTCTAGGATCTGGTATATGACCATTTCCAACATTTTAAAATTAGACAACTTTTTTAATGTTAAAAAATTGTGGGAGTCTTGTTGCTGACCACTTTTACAGTAGAAATACATTAACAAGATCTATATGCATCACAGTATTTGGTTCTGTGCCTATCTAGTATAGTATTTGAATCAAGTTATTTTAGACAAGTTTTTTTTGAATAGAAGAGAAGCTGGAGAGGCATACTTATTATAGCAAGTCCCTTAACAAGGTTATAGTGATAAATGGAAACCATTGCTAAAGATTTTCATTTATGAGTTTTTCACTTTAAACTAAAATATTAATTCCCTACCATCTTCATGATAAGGAATTTGGGTTAATTATAATTTAATCTTATTGTCTTTATTCTGTAGTTCCCTTTATAGAGACCTGGTCCCAAATCTGGGTTTCCATATTAGTCTTACATGTTATTTTTTTTCAAAACTGATAACTGTAGTCAAATTATATAAAAATAATGCCCCCCTTTCATTTCGGGGCTGTCACTGCATTCTTTTTAAGAGTGTATATAAGTGAAAATACACAATTTCTAATAGGGAAGTACTTATTACTTGTACAATAAGTATACTACAGAATATTTATACAATATTCAAATTATTTCAGAAATACATTCTAATTAAATAATATGCAGAAAATTCTTTTAAAGAATTTATTTGCACAGATAATACAATAGGAATTTCATACCATTTCTCAAGCTTGAAGGTGATAGTGTCATGGATTGGGGATGTTTTGCTTCCTTAGGATCTGAACAGCTTAAGGGAAGCATGAACTCTGGCTTATATCAGAGAATTCTAAGAAAAATAAAGCTCTTGGTTACCAGAAGAAGGAGCTAATAGGAAAGATTTAACATCACCTTTTCTAGCTAGAAGGCAGTGCTTAATGTTCTTCGCCATCTGGTGACAGCTAACTGCTTCTCAGTCTTAGTTCTGCCTTCTGCAGACCACGAAAGGCTTTTCCCCTTTGGTACCATTCTCAGGCCTAGTGGTTTAAAAAAAAGATAAGGGGAGGAAAATCCTTTTTGGAAGCAGAGGGCTTCCAAAGTGGCAAGCAGACAGCTTTAGCATCAGTACTCTTTGCTTCTTTGTCTCCAGTCATGGAGAGCCAATTAATGGAAAGTAGCTGTGTTAGCTACAATCAGGCAAAGAGGTTCTATTGAGGTTCTTCTCTGATCCCCCATTGAGCAGTGGACAGAATTCCCTCGTTTGTCCCAATTTTTGCGTGTTTAGTCTGCTATCATCTCTGTATACTTTGTGCAAGAGTCGAACATATTGACTGGCACTAGCTGTAGAAGACCTGCTTTCCCTCCCATCACAAGTAATAGAGAATCATATGGCTCAATGCTCCTGGGACTGACTGCAGAGAGGCACAAGCAGTTTGAGTAATCTCCCATCCAGTGCTGGCTAATGGCTGTGGTAGAGATTCCAGTTGTCTGCAACAAAAAGCCTTCTGCAGCTTCTTCATTAGGATATGTATCTTCTCTTCTCCCCCCCCCTCCCCTTTAAATATCAAGATGAGATTACTGAATTAGAGATGCTTCAGGCTTGGCTATAACTGAGGCACACTTGGGGCTGATTAAGCCTAATGGACAGCCCTAGAATTATGGGAAAGAGCAGTTCCCAGTGGAGTCAATGGCAGACTGTTGGATGGATACAAACTGCAATCTCCCAAACATCAAGCAAAACAACAAAGTTTTGGGTGCTGAATCAATTATTGGACAGGTCCAAAGCAGTTCAGAGCTTATTTAGTCCTGAGGAGCCATCAACCATCACTTCCCTTTTTTATTTAAAGATCTTAGGGTTGTCTTTCTTAAATGACCCAATAAGAGAATTAGCAAAGGAATCAAACAGAAGAAACTCCTATCCAAACTCAACTTTGAATTCCTTAAATGGAAAGGAAAGCTCCTGAGAGACACAGTGGGTGAGTGCGAGGTCTAGGAGACCAAGTGGACTAAAGGCTGGTTCTCAGAAAAGAATAGCTATGACAAGGAAGATGGAAACACACTTTGGTACAAAGGTTCCAGAGCATGTTCAAGTCAGATGCCTACAATGTGAAAGTCAAAAAGTTGGCAGAGTGCTACTGCTTACATGACTAAAAAGATCAGAGAGATGCCAGGCACATCCACGCCAGACTGGAGATTGCCTCTTCCTGATTTTTTCCCTGAAATAATTAGTAAGGAATGGGTGGAACCATTGAAGAACAGAACTGTGTCTTCCTTGTTTGACTAGTTTTATTTCCTGTCTGGGGAACATATGGGCCGGATAAAAACCTGGAACAGAATTTGGGAGTGTGCATGGGGCAGGAGAAAGCCCTTCTGCATCTTTAAATACAAATCATAATCAAATTTGCATGCATTGTCTCAAAATGAATATATATCCTTGAAATGTTATTTGTTAGAATGGTTGATTCATATTTCAGTTGTGTTATATAGATGTTTCTCAATATAAACACATTTAATGTTCTGGGTTTGTAGTTTGTATTTTTAAAAATTCCTTAATATTTAAATGTGCAGATATTTATTCACAAAGTTTTAATATTTATTTTGAAGGCACAAAATATAATTTATAAGAAATGTTTTCATAAAAATAAGTGATAATGGAAACAATTAGGAAAAACTACATCATTGCTTGAAAATGAAATAGTTCAGTAGTATCACCTGTACTTTGCAATTGTGCAATCTGGTATTGCATAACATTTCATATAAAATCAATCAGTATTCCGTTTTTATTTATTTTTCCCATTTCTTCTTTAGGTTTGCTCTGTGGATGAAATGAATCATGAGTTTCAAGCTCTTGCATTAGAATCTCGGGGAATGGGAGAGGTAAATATTTAAAAATGCAATTTATAGAATATTTATTTATATTTATTTGTACTTGCAAATTCTAAGGCCTGAAAGTGTTACTCTGTTTAGAATATATAAACATTCTTCCAAAACACAATTATTTGACACTGAAATCCCCTAAACCGGGGTAGGCAACCTCAGCTCTTTTATGACTCATGGACTGAGTCTATGCTGGCTCAGGAATTCTGGGAGTTGAAGTCCATGAGTAATAAAAGAGCGAGGTTGCCTACCCCTGCCCTAAATTCTGCTGAAGACGCTACCTAGCCTGGTAACAAAATGTTCAGAAAGCAACCCACAAGCTCAGAGAACGAACCTTCACCCTCATAATTATTTTAATAATATATGCACAAATGAGATCAATTTTAACATAACTCTCATTTGAAAAAACTGAGTTTTTGCTGCTAATAAAAGTTTAATTATTGTAGGGTATTCCTGCAAGGATTTTCACTTGTGTTTTTAAACAAAAAATAATGTTTATTCTTTAACTGAGAGTGCAAGGAAAAGAAGTTCTTGAAATATGCAAATCATAGATTTATTTATTAGAATACAGAGACTAACACTTGTTTCATGCAAATTTCTTATTCTGCATGGGATTTCAACAATTTTTTTTTTTAAAAAAAACATTTTGGTTCAGTGACATAATGTTAATTATTCCCTGGATTTACAATTCCCATATTCACCTAATAGAAAGATTGCCTTTAATTTAAGGAAATCCTTTTTAAAAAATAAAATAAGACAAGGTATAAACTTGCCAAAAATTCTCCATTCTACCAATCTTTCCTGTGCTGCCATCTCTCCCTGAAACTAATCTTGGGTATAATTTCTTCAATGTGTGCATTTGGTTTATGCATACATGTTTTTGTACATTCCAAAAAGTGTACAGAACAAAATGTTAATTGAATTAATAAACACTGAATATTGATTAAAAGTGCTTTAATTTAATTCATTTAATTGACATAAATTAACCCAATTTATGGGAGTGTGTATCTTGTATATATAGATGTACTCACAATATACATATTATATTCAAATGACGTTTATGCACACATTCAAACCATTCTCTAATATATAGTACTTACACAAACACACAAGTACATATAGTCATGCAGAATACCTTTAAGCAGCTGACAAAGTTAATGGGAAAAAAGGAGAACTGGGGGAATAAGGATGAAACAAGAAAGAGAAGAAACTATAGCTAGCAATGTATATTAAGATACACAAGCTTGCATTGAGAGAATGTAATGGAATGGGTGGATGACCTTGGGGAACAAGGGGAAGAGATGCAGCCTAGGAAACAATTGGACAAGAGAGGGAGGAGCCCCCAGTGGCTTATGGTCAGGAATCTGATCTAATTGATCAAACAGTTAAAAGTGGTGGCAGGATATTTGTACCTTCAAACTTGCAAATTTAATATAGCCTTGCAGTAAAGTAGAATTAGCTCATTAATTGTGTCACCTGTCTGATTTATCTGGGAGAGATTACAGTGAGTGACTGAAGAATTCTTCTGTAACACTGAAAGGTAGGACAGAAGACTTTGGTAGCTGAAGACTCCAAAGGGACTTGGTAGCGATATAGACCAAACTGAAGGAAGAAGCAAAAGTGCAGACAGATGGACCATTAGTGCTCCCAGCTTCAGAGCGGTTAAGTCCAGATTTGAGAGCTGACAACAGAAATTAGCCCATCAATAAAGACAGCCAAGCAAGAGGTAGTTTGGTAGTTTCTGAGACTGGGACCAGAATAGATAGTTAGAATAGAACTAAAATTCAATAGAGAGATTAAAATCAAAATTTGGATTAGAGTAGGAATATTAGACAGCTATAGGGGGATAACAACAAAGAGTGGGAGCCAGGTACATTTATATGACAATAAATTGTAACCTATTGTATTCTGTATAAATGAATGATATATTTCATTGTATTTGTCTATACAAAGTCTATGTCTATAGGCAATCTACTCATAAATGGCAAGTGCAATCAGGTCTTCAATCCAGGAGCCATACATTTATCTTTCCCTTATTTTTTTTCCTATACATTTATCTTTCTAATGTTGCAAAGTCTTTTGGCAATGGTATGGGCACAGAGAATACATTTATGTTGTCCATTTTTCAAATTCCATGGACTAAGTATATAGTCAACAGTTTAGTATTCTCTCAAAATTTTGTTGCGTTTACATAATCCACTACAGATAGTCCTTGACTTATAACTGTTCATTTAGTGACTGTTCAAACTTACAAGAGCACTTATGACCGCTTTTTTTTTTTTGTATTTATAACCATTGCAGCATTCCCATGTTATGTGATCAAAATTTGGATCCTTGGCCATTTCTTCATATTTATGACGGTTGCAGTGTCCTGGTGTCATGCAATCCCCTTTTGCAACCTTCTGCCAAATAAAGTTGGTGGGGAAGCCAGATTTGCTTAAAAATCAGGTTACTAACTTAACAACTGCAACAATTCACTTAATTGTGGCAAGAAAAATAGTATAATGAGGTAAAATTCACTTAAAAATGTTTTACTTAGCAACATAAATTCTGGGCTTGATTATGGTCATAAGTCGAGGACTACCTGTACTTTCTCCCAAAACTTGATAAATATAGATTTTGTAGAAATCTATGCTTTAAAGAAGCATCATCCTTATTAGATATCCAACATGTGCTTTTTAGAAATCCTTTTTTATTCAAATGTAATGGAGTCTAATAACCCCTATGACTCTATGTTCTAAAAATAGTTCTAAATATTATTTTGTTGTATTAGTGATAGTTTGAAGTCCATTAACACTCTTGCTACAGAAGTTAAGACACTCTCCAATTGCAATATAGGAACTTCTAATTCTTTATTCCATTCATTTCTTAACATGTATATCAAATTGATTTACTGATATGAAATATCTATAAAAACTAATAGGTTTATTTAGTTTTAAAGGATTTAACAAGTTGCTCTAGTGCAGGCATGTCAAACTGCCGGCCCGCAGGCCAGATGCATCATGACAAAACTGCACCAATCCTATTGCCAGCAATGGGGGAAAAGTCACGATACATTGCACGATGTCACGTGATGTTGCGAGTTTGAATTGCCTGCTCTAGTGTCTCAGATGTATCAGGAGCTGAAAATGCTGCTGCTCCAAATAATGTTAACAAAGGTTGTAATTGTAACTGTTGCCATTCAGTTAAATGTGATAAATGAGACTTCTCTCTTAACATAGAATAAAAAAAATCATCTTTATTACCTTTCAATTAATCCTAAATCAATATCCCAACTTCCATCCAATTTTTCCAATATCACCATTTCCCCCCCCCCCAATTTTTAAAGTCAGGTTTCTCCTAAAGTCAATTTGATATGAAAAAAGGGGCTAAATCTTTTATTAGACATTCCATTCCATAACATTTGAACTGACGTAATTGTTTCCAGAGATAACTAAAATTTTAGTACATTTAGATCCTGAAACTGCCTATCCAGCCAAAGATGCTATAAATGTAGAGATTCTTTTCTAAACAAATAATTTATTTTCTGAAAATATTTTCCAGATATATAAATTGGAAATTCCTCTCAGAATATAAATTAATCTGGGAATAATATTCATTTTGAAAACATTCACTTTTCCCCAGAGATTAACTTTTAATAACTCCCATATATCAATATCTGAAGAAACTTCTACATTTTATTTATAACATATGTTACTGATACACATACCTAAATATTTAATAAATTTAGTACAAATATGGAATTGATGTGCCTTAAATGAATGGGTTACCCAATTTTGGCATCAATTCCAATTTGGATCAGTTTATAGAATAATTCTTTTATTTTGCTAAAGGCAGCTGTCTCTTGCATTAACACTGGGATAATAGCATGAGCTTCAAAAATAAACCAAAGAATGTTATCTGCAAATAAAATCAGTGTGTCCAGTTGACTTATGAACTACATAATTCTCCTTATATTATTAAATAGCACAAGCTGAGGGTTCCATGGAGATATCAAAAAGCAAGGATAAAAGTTGACATCCTATTCTAGTTCCTCTGAATAGTGGGAAAGGAAGAGATAGCATGCTATGAACTTTTACCTCAGCTGTGGGTGTGATTCATATCATAATCCATTTTATGACTTCCAAAAGAAATCTGAATCTATACAGCAAACTTGCACTGTTTGTGTGTACAGGCAAAGATTTCTTCAGCATTTAATTATAAAATTACAAACTGATCTTTATTTAAGTCTATTAGATCTACTATGATGATTGCTGCTTTAATTTTTGTAAACACTGGTCATCTTATAACAATCACCTCCTATTTGCTAACTCTAGTATAAAATCTTTGCAACATTAATCAATGAGCTTGGACAATAATTGTTCAATAACCTTCTTTTTGTATAACTTAAACCTGGTGAAAAGCCAGTGATAAAATTTCCTTTTCAGATATCTCTTGGTCAAGCTTTGCACCAAAAAAATCAATAAATCTTTTATATCACTCAATAGTGACAGCCAATTTAATTCTGGAGCTTTATCACTTATCATTTTTAAAAGTATTTGTTTAATCTCTATATCAGATAGTGGAGCAAATAATGGAGTTTTGTCTATTATCTAAATGTGGTAAAATAATTTTATATAAAAAGACCTCTATATCCTCATTTGATATATTCTATGGTTTACTATATAATTCTGAATAAAATTTTAAAATTTAACAATTTATATCTATTGACATTTTATACATTTCCTCTCTCTCACCTGTAATAATTGGAACCATTGCTTTTAAGCGATTAGCCAAGATATTATCAGGATTTTGCCGTTTTCCCAGAATTTTTGTCATAAACATTTTATCATAAATTCTGTTTGCTATGATATTATAGCTGTTAATTCATATTTCTGTATCTGTTTTCTCTGTAGAAAACTCTTGATGGGCATCAGACCATCTGTGCCCATAAATGTTTTGAAAGTTTTCAATTTATTTTCCTTTTTAATTTTAATGTCATTCTTATATAGTCCTAAACAATAATTCTTAGAATTCTTAATTTTAACAAAAGAAAAGTCAAACATAAGCTGTGGATTTAAAAAGGCCTATTTTAATAAGCTGAGAGAAATGGTAAAGAGGATGTCAAGGGAAGAGAAGTTAAAGGCAGAGGTGTTGCAGCCAACTGAGCTTTTCTGAAAAGAAAAAGTACAGTTTCAAACATGAGCAGTGGAAGAAAACTACAAGATAGCTAAAGACTTCAGTGTGAATAGGCAGCTATTTAACCACACTCAACAATAATTCATGAAGGAATTGGGACTACATGCTTCTTAGAAACAGAAACAAGAGCTAATGACCAAGGAAATCTACAAAGCTTCAATTCATAAATGTGGGAAAGATGGAAAATGAGGTAAATCTAATGAGTGGCAAAACCTAGCAGTGAAGGTTTGTTCAAATACAACAGTAGAAAGAGGAAAACAAATGAGGCAATGGACTCACTGTTTACTTCAAATGAAATCTTCATAGATATCAAAGAATTTATAATTAATTCATATTCTCTTTTGTTTATGTCTATATCCAAAGCAAGTCATGTGAGACTAACCTTGTCTCGTTTGACAAGGTAGCTAGTGGAAAAGGATGTGGATATGTTTGCTTCAATGTCAGCTTTTTTAAGCAAGCATTTTACAAGATTGCATGTGACATTCTCATTGACAAGCTGATTTGGATGGCAGTATGCTAAGGTAGATCTATAAGTGACTGACAAAATTACTCTTAGCATAAGTGGCTCTTTATTGAGCTAGAGAGCAGTAACTATTGGATTCAAGTGAGAATCTATCAAAAGGCAAGTATTATTTAAATGTTATTAATGTTGGGGTTGAGTTGCTTATCCAGTTTGCACAAAATTCAACATCCAGGAAGCTTGAATGAGACTACAAATCTGAAAATATTAGACATCTCAGCAGAGAGAAACAAAATGTTCTTCAGCAGGAAAAATATAAAGTATTACATTTAGAAAAGAGAATATATATATATATATATATATATATATATATATATATATATATATATATATATATATATATATATATATATATGGTACAAATAAAATACAAACACCAGGAGAGTATAAATATAAAAATATACTTTACTAAAAGCTGCCAAGCTTTCGTTTGGAAACTCCAAACATCATCAGGGCTAAGGAGCCAGTAAACAATGATGACTTAAATGGGTTTTGCCGGCATCTGCACCCGGTCCTGGCCGGTTAATTAGTGTTCCAGATGTTTCTTTATTACTCTCCTTACGCTCCTTCTATGGTTCTTCCGGATCATTCCTTCCACTATCTCATTACTGGTATTCATCTCCTCCACCACCCCTTTATCCTTATTTCCTTCCATAGCACTGACCCTCCTCCCCTTTTTGTTTTCATTCTCCACCCTGGGGGCATCTGTTTCTCCTCTATCAGTGTTACAAGCTTCCCTGGGCTCACAGACGCTCCCCCCCACACACGCTTTTCCCAATCCCTGCTCCAGGGTGAAGAATGAAAACAAAAAGGGGAGGAGGGTCAGTGCTATGGAAGGAAATAAGGATAAAGGGGTGGTGGAGGAGATGAATACCAGTAATGAGATAGTGGAAGGAATGATCCGGAAGAACCATAGAAGGAGGCGTAAGGAGAGTAATAAAGAAACATCTGGAACCCGGCGGGACCAGTGACGCGGTCCATGAGCCGGGTGCAGATGCCGGCAAAACCCATTTAAGTCATCATTGTTTACTGGCTCCTTAGCCCTGATGATGTTTGGAGTTTCCAAACGAAAGCTTGGCAGCTTTTAGTAAAGTATATTTTTATATTTATACTCTCCTGGTGTTCGTATTTTATTTGTACCATAGACATGCCCAGGAGTCGTATTTTTATGCAAATTTTCCAGCATATATATATATATATATATATATATATATATATATATATATATATATATATATATATATACACACACACACATATACACACATACATACATATACATACACACACTGCATACATACATACATACATACATATATACATACACACAAGATGCAGGATTTATAGCTTGAAAGCATGTCAGAAAAGAACTTGGGCCTAATCACTGATAACCAGCTCTATTTTAGCAAGCTACTAGGACTAATGCAACTTTGGGCTGCATTATAAAAACACAGTATTGTCAAATACACATGAAATTCTTATTCTCTCCCTTACTGGTGAAACCACGTCTGCAGATTTGTATATGGTTCTAGACTCAAATTTCTATAAATATATTGACGTGCCCTTAAGAGGCTGACAGATTGTTTGATAAAAGTTCTGTGATAAAAGACTAGAAGACCCCTGTGATGTTCAGCTTGAAACAAACATTGAGGTTAATGCCAGTGTTCAGAACCTTAAAAGGCTCTTGTAGAAAAGATATTTAGAAACTATTTCTATTACTGCATAAGACAAAACCAGAAATAATAGGTTCAAGTTGCAACTACCAAATTCTCTGTAAAGAAAACCTTTTTGACAATAAGATTTGCACAGGAGAAGAATAGTCTGCCTAAGGCAGGCATGTCAAGCTGCCGGCCTGCACCCACCCCATTGCCAGCAATGGAGAAAAAGTCCCGATACGTCGCACAATGTTATGTGACATCGCCCAATGTTACATGACGTCGCAAGTTTGACATGCCTGGCCTAAGGATATTATGGATTCTCTCTCTCTCTCTGGAGATTATTTTAAGAGTCCAAACATTCATTCTTCACAATTTTGACCTGCCCATCTCCATCAGAGCAGATGCTGAGTGGCGTACAATAAAATGTTAAAATATAAAAAACAGTATATAGAAATTTAGAGTTACTTCATGAAGGTGGATTAATTTGTTTTCCTGTAGTCTACAGAGAGTTTAACTACATGATCCTTGTGGTCCCTTCCAATTCTACAACTTTATAACAGGTAGACTCTTGTTAATTCCTTAAAAACATTTTTTATAATAAAACCAGTTTCCAGAAGGAATTGGTGTGAATGTGACCTGGTTGAAGTGTATACCATTCTTGAAACTGTAATCCTATCATTTGGTTGGAGAACATTTAGCATCTATTTCAAGTTCATGTTTATTTATTAAATTTATATAGATGTTAATCTCCATACAAGACTTTGGGCAGTTCATAAATTTAAAAAATAGTAAACCAATCCAAAAAGAGAGTAATTTGGGGCCAGTCACACTTACACATCCCAACCTATCTCACAGGGCTGTTATAGGAAAAATGGGAGGAAGGATTATTAAGTTTGTTTACCATCTTCTTATAAAGTAATAAAGGTGGGAATCAAAATTTAAAGATAAATAAAAGCAGTAGAAACTATAAAACTATTTAAAGTCAAAGCAAAATTCATAACTGAGGCAATCATTTTATATCTAACAGTCAATCTACCCACTTCACCAACATTAGCATACCTGCCCATCACGTTTCTCAAATACAAAAGTATAGCATGTAATGAAGTACATTATTGGTTTATTAAACACATTATTGTTTAATAAATACATTTATATCAAAAGAGATAAATGCAGAAACTCCAGATTCCTTTCTATAAATTTAGAATTTATTAATATACATCTAGACCAGTGATGGTGAACCTTTTAGACATGGAGTGCCCAAACCCCTCCTCGGCCCCCGCCCGTCTTCTGCCCTGCCTGTCCGCAGGGCCATCCACCGCCTCCATGGCCTGCCACAGCAGATTGCCCACAGCCCTGTAGCGCCAGTATCTGTGCACGATGAGGCGTGAGGGCGGAGTCTTGTCCCTGCTACCTGACTGCAATGTCCTTGGCTGCGCTGCTCCGTATGGGCCCTGCCCAGGGGTGACTCTCCTCCGGAGGAGCTGCTGGTGAGGGGGCTGCAGGGGAGGCGGGGCTGGGGCAACAATGACCGTGCCCACAGAGAGGGCTCTGCGTGCCGCCTCTGGTACACTTGCCATAGGCTTGCTACCACTAATCTAGGCATTAGATTAAATGAGCATTAAATTTAAGATGTTTCTTTTAAAATAGCTGCTACCTGCCAAAAAATTTTGGGAACCAGATGATCCAGCAAAGGATGGACAAAAAGGGATATTTCTTGGTGATGAGTGGAGAGAAACTGCTTGGGCAACACCTCGTAAGTGATACTTGTTTAAGATATTATGTAAACTATACAATTTAGTTTGAAAAACAACTGTTTCTATGTTCAGTAATGGAAAAAATCTGCATTGAACTAAGCTGTATTAATTTGCATATTGATTTTAATGTCTCTTTTTTAAATCTAAAATAGACCACTCCATGTCACAACCTATTATGGTTCAAAGAAAGCCTGGACATGTTTTTCATGGAACAAGTGAAGTAAACGCTGTCTTATCTCCTCGATCAGAGAGTGGTGGCCTTGGTGTGAGCATGGTCGAATATGTGCTAAGTTCTTCTCCAGCTGATAAATTGGACTCCCGGTTTAGGAAAGGAGCTTTTGTAAGTAACTTGTTTGTATCAATAAAAGTTATTGTAGGCTATTCTTATGACGGAATGGGACAACTTGCCATAGTGAACTTGCCGCTACCAATTCGCTATGGCCAGCTCACCATTGGAAAACTTGCCACAGGATAATTCAACAATTTTATTTAATTATTTAAAATAATTAAAAATTATTTTATGTTTTGTCATTTGTATTTCAGTTTGTCTCTCCTTTTGCATCATTTCTTTAATAATTCTAATTCACAATTTCTTCAATATTATATAACATTTGTCCTGCGACAAGTTGTCCTGTGTGAGTTGGCATCGGCAAATTGGCCGCGGCAATTTGGATGTGGCGAGTTGGCCATGGCAAATTGACCATAATGAGTTGGCTGTGGTGCGTTGTTGTAGACTCGTTCTATGATATTATTACCTGTTAGATTTTCCTCATGCTGCCATGTAATTTAGCAACAAGTAGATTAATCATTTAAGTTTTTATAGTGGTCTTCAGAAAGCAGTGCTTTGCGCTAAATAAGAGCTTACGTCTCTATACTCAACTGTTTCATGCTACTCTTGGGAAAATGGCTTCAAAATCATATCTGTAACATGAAGTATTGCATGTAAATTTTCTGTAGGCCCGCCAAAGATTTTTCAAAGGTTTTCTGTTCATAATAAATTGTTTTAAATAGCTGTATTTATTTCAAAGGAGTTTTCCATTATGAAAAAGAGCAAGATGTCTTGCAAAAGAACACACCAGGCATAAAATGGCATTTTGATTATATGTTGTTCAGTCTTTCAGTGACTTCCAACTCTTCATGATTTGATGAAGATAATTTTTCCAGGATTGTCTATTTGTAACTGCTTCTTTGAGCTTATGCCATTTTAATTTCACATGTTTTATACTGTTTGACTTTAGATAGTGTTACAAGGAAGAAAGGAGTATCAAAAGTGCCTCTCTTCACTGTCTTATGTGTAGGGTTAGATTCCTCTGGATCATCAAAACTTCTCACAACTGGAAAAGCCATCCTCACTTTGTAGGAAATTTACATTCAGCTAATGTTGATTTTTTTCGGTTTTATCCTGAAAGCTATGGACAACATATTTTATTTAAGAATGATACCTGACAATATTACCTAACAACCTTACAGCATTAGTTAGATTTGGTAATGTTAATTGTGGATGCTACATTTATTTTCTGCTAGATTCAAATCAAACATGTTTTTTTTACTTAGGGTACTAGAGAAGCTGAAACAGATGGACCTGAGAAAGCAGACCAGAAAGGCAAGGTTTCTCCATTTGAGGAGGACAAGAACAGAGATCTTAAACAAGTTGATGATGACGATGTTACCAAAATAAATGGCAGAGGCTTGCCAAATGGAATGGATGCTGATAGCAAAGATTTTAAGTAAGGCTTAGATTTTTGGGATGTTGGGAGGAAGATATATCTGTTTTCAATAAATAAAAATTATGGATGCATGGGTTCAGGTTCAAAGTTTCATTTAGGTTCTGTGATATTTTGTATAATGGTTGCCATCTTTATGCATGTTAAGTCTTATTATATTTTAATTATGGGATCTGTGCAGACTGTAATACAGATGGGTGTCCATTGCTATCACTAAGCTTAATTGATGGAAATTGGAGTTCTGCAGCAACTTTTAGAAGGCCATAAGTTATCTGTTCTGCTAAAAAAAAAAGTACATCCTCCCCCAAAGGTTTCTACTCTTTTTATTATTGAATTTTTTTATTTTTTAACATACAAGCATTTATAAAAATACAATAAAATTTTAAAATAGAAAAAAAAATCCCTTACCCTCCCTCCCACCCCCAACCCCCCTCCCTTCACTTCCCAGAACAGAATACAGGGTTAATAATAACAAAATTTATAATAATTAAGAAAAAAGAAAAGAAAAGAAAAAAGAAATTTTTTTTTATCATAATTAACCTTTAACTCCATAACCTATGAAACAATTCTCTATAATATTTAATATTCATTCATAAAATAAGTGAAACTTTTTAATTCCATACTTTTTCTGAATATAATCTATCTACCTTCCCCATACAATAATATATCTTTCTTGTGTATGATCCTTTAAATAAGCAGAAATTTTTGCCATTTCTGCAAAACTAGATACTTTAAATATCCATTCTTCTAAAGTAGGCAAAGAATCTTCCTTCCAATATAAACTACTAATAACCTTGCTGCAGTTAATAAATTCAACATCAAAGTAGTTTCTTTTTCATTTAAGTCAACAAAAATACCAAGTAAAAATAGTTGAGGAGTAAATAGGCTTGCTTTTATCGCCTTCATTGATTGTGCTTTAATATTTAGAACGTATAAAATAAGAAGTGTAAATATGATTTAAAGATATAAAATTGACGTGGTGGTCTGACTTCTTTGACTGCATTGTGGCATTTGAAAAGGAAACAATTCATTGTTAAGAAGAGAAACAGTGGAACAGAAGGAGCAGTTGCAATGTCTGTTAAAAAAATCAATTCCTACCCATAAAGCCAAATCAACAAGCCTGGAACTGTTTAGCCTAGTATCAAAAAAAATTAAACTTAGAATGGGCAGAGGTTAGTGGAGATGCTAAGAAGAACAAAAACATTCTCGCTAGATAAGTTCAAAATAATAAAAAAAAATCAATACACCAGCTGAACAATAAATAAGGTAAAGTATTTACAGGCGACAAGGAAAAGCAGAACCACCAAAGTGACATAATTTGTTTTATTCTTCCAACCACAAAGGAGATTGTGAAGCCAGAATAATAGAGTAGGATTGAAGCTTGTGATTGATCAGGGAAAAGCTTTTTACTTCGAATGGATTTTAATCTTTTCGACTAGATGAATGGCATCGTAGGGTGCTGAGGTAGTTGATTGTCTTGTTATCCTGGAGAACAGATGAAGTTCCAGATGAGTTGAGGAAGATAAAAGGGGGAAAGGAAGATCCATTGTGCTGCAGCCCAGTGAGTTTGACTTCAATATCTGGTTAGGAGATAAAGAGGTTGGTCTGTAGGATCTTTCAAAGCACTGTGATAATTACTAATGTTTATGTTGAATAAATAAATTTTCCTCCTTTTTTCATAGGGTAACTTCCACAATAGACTGTGGGAGTACTGTATATCTTCAACAAAATAATTAACAAAATAATGACCTGCTGATTAAGGCTGGTCAGAAGATGTAAATTACATTCAAAACCTTCTTGATAGTTTGGAGAAATGGGCAGAAAAAGGTAGAACGTGTTCAACAGAATCGAGGATATTGTCATTTAGAAAACAAAACTCAAATGTACAACTGTAGATGGCATGGTATTAATAGTAAATAGTGTGGCTTGGCAATAGTTATGGTAAAGATTGGAATACAGGCAGTGCTCTTTTTATGAACAGATTGCATTCTGAGAGGCTGTTCATAAATGTGCTTTGTTCGCAAGGCCAAACAAATATACTGTAAATGCCAGCGTATAAGACGACTTCCGCGAGCGCTGAAATCGGCGCCAAAGACGGGGGTCGTCTTATACGCCGAGTCGTCTTATACGCCGGAAATACTGGTAGTTTCCGGCGTATAAGACGACGTTCTAGGAATGCGGCCCGGCTATAAAGACGGGGGTCGTCTTATACGCCGGGTTGCCTTGTACGCCGGCATTTACGGTATACGTGGCATGCTATAAACTAACCTCCCAATTTTTGCGACCTTCTCTGTTGGAGTTGTGGGTAAGTTTTTTCGTATTGGTGAAAGCTCATAAGTCGGAAGTTTGTAAGTGGAAAAATGTTTTGTAGTTGATTCCAAATTAAAATGAGCTAGCCATGTGATATGACTCCCCAAAAAGCAATATAGTTGCAGGCCGAAGCAACAGAAACATTATTTCCTAATTATTCCACTCTGTTCTGCTTTGGTCAGATCCTATCTTGAGTGTTACAGTTCTGGAAATTATAAGGAGTCAGAAACATTAGAACAAATTCCAGTAAGAAGAATCAAGCTAATCAAGGGATTAGAAGCTAGATTGTGTGAGGAGAGATTGAAAAAATTATCTGTGTTTAGCTTTGAGAAAAGAAGACTAAGGATGATATGACAGTAACTTGTGAAATAGTCATTTTTGAAGAAACTTCAAAAGTCCTTGGTTAACAATCACTCATTTAGTGATTCATAACAATACTGAACAAGTGATTGCGATCCATGGGCTTGGCAACAGGCTTGCACTTATGGGGTCGCAATGTCTCATGTCACATGATTGCCATTTGCGACTTTCCCTGCTGGCTTCCTATAAGCAAAGTCACTGGGCAAGCAGGCAAGGAAGATTGTTAGCTGTTCTTGTAAATCATTCCCATTCCTGTGTGCCCTCCCACATTCTACAGCACCCACCTTCCACCTGGCCATGCTTGCACCGTACTACAAAAGCCACTTGGCCTTGCACTGGCTTGCTTATGAGCCATCTGGTTCTTATGATTTCCCATTAACTTTGCTTGTTAAAAGCTGGCAGGAAGTCAAGAAGTCCTCACTTAATAACCTGTGATCCTCAGTTACAACATCAACAGACTGCCTGGATTGCCATCACTAAATGTGGTTACATAATGTGTTGTATGACTGCATCACTTAGGGATGGAAATTCCAATTCCAATTACTATTATAGGTAGCAAGGATTATCTATACCCAAAATCCTATTATGATTTATGTTGATTGATTATTTAGTATCCTATGACTATCACTGTGTTGTATCTTATGATTTATGATGATAGTATTTTATGATTATAATCATGATTTTATCACTTGTTGCTTTTATGTATACTGAGAGCTTATGTACCAGAGACAAATTCTCCAATCACACTTGACTGATAAAGAGTCCTGTCCTATTCTATTCTATTCTATTCTATTCTATTCTATTCTATTCTATTCTATTCTATTCTATTCTATTCTATTCACAAATCACATAGAAGGAATTCAAGACTGCTCTTCCGTGTCCCAGGTGCAAGAAACAGTTAATGGATTATGTTACAGGAAGGCAGGTTCTGTCTAAATGTGAGAAAAAAAATCTGTAAAAACAGTTTGATGTGATACCTATTTCTCAGAGAGATAGTAGACTACTATCAACTAGAGACCATTTTTCATTGGATATTTTATTTATCTATCAAATTTATATAGCAGCCCATCTCACTAATATGACTTTTGGCAATGTACAATAAATCAATTAAAACTAAATCTTAAATAACTGAAACAAAATATAAACACAGGAGAATGCACCAAAATCTCACATACAATGCAATCATCTTACAGGTTCTTTATTATCTTGGGGTCCCCAGAGCTATTAAAAATCCCCAGGTTTTTAAGAATTTCTGGAAGGACAATAGCGTTGGACTTAGAAAGCTAAATTTCTGGCACACTTTCATTTGAATTCTTTCAGTGAATGGAGGTTGGAATCTGTGGTTCTAGCTGGCCTTCTTAATTTATGTTTATATTTTAATCATAAAAATTATTTCTCTTTTAAGAGAAGCATGGTTGCTTCTTCCTCCTGTAAGTGGCCAGAGGGACAATTCTTTCCAAATTGACTGTTTGTGGTCTGGTAGTCTTAAATGTTTCCAAATGCAGGATGTACATTATTTCTGGCTGCTATATATTGTTCTATCTATATTATGCAAAAAATGCAAGATATTTTTTTAAATAAAAACTAATTTCTTCATTTTATCTTCAAGGTATGGTTTTGCCTCAAATGTTTTAGTAGAAATAATATTCAATTATGTATCTTTTTCAATGTAAAAGAAGTGTTATAGTTACAGCTGATACAGGCCTGCTGTTTAATAGATTCAGAATAGGATTTCCTTAATGCTGCCCTTTAAGTTGGCTTTGAAGCCATGAACTTAGCTTTAAAGCCGGAGCTTCCCATATCCTGCTAAGCATGCTATCCTACCATCCTCACCACCACCACTCTCAAATTGTAGATCTACTGTTTTAAAATCTTTCGATTATAGCCTATTTATTAAGCATTTCTATTATTGTTACCAGGAAGTACTGAGCACATATATGCTGTTTCATGACTTGGCTTGTTCAAGAAAAATCACAAGAACAGCAGCAAATGCATGTTAATTTTACCAACTGCTTACCTTAGAAAGCAATATCTATAAATTTTGATCACAGACATGAGCTGTGGCTATATCATAGATAAAAATAAAATAAAATTTTTAGTAAATTAAGAAAAAAAGGGAAATGAGGTTTTTTTATAAGATTATTTTAGCAACATGTTTGGAATGTATATTTTAATGTATAATTTTGGAGAGCATTAATCATTCAAACATGCTAATTTTCTCATTTGCTATTAACATTTTACTGCTCTGAAAGCAATTAAAACAGTTGTTTTGTGTTTAATTATTTGACTTATCAATTAAAGTAAAATTATAGATTTGATTTTCAAACAGTTTTAACATTAACTATCATATAGAACAATTGTGTGCCATTTTCTTATAAACCAAGGAGAAAAAATTATTGTGAGATTTTTACATATGTAAAGTTTTTCACCAGATGTTTTTATAAAAGCTCATTTTTGTTTTTCATTTTTTTCCTAAGCAGTCGTACTCCTGGAAGCCGACAAGCATCCCCAACTGAAGTAACTGAGCGTTTGGGTCCAAACCCTAATACTGCTGAAGGCTTGTCTTCGCTTTCTAATCCTTCAACTCATAAGCCACTGGTGGAGGAATTTTCAAACTCTGAATCTCAGAATTTGGATGCTATGGAACAAGTGGGTCTTGATTCTCTGCAGTTTGATTATCCTGGAAATCAGGTACAAATGGATTCTTCAGGAGCTACTGTGGGACTCTTTGATTACAGTTCACAACAACAGGTTAGTATATTTTTTATACCCATATTAATGGTTGGAATTACAGCATTATATACGTTACAGGTTTCAACTAAAAATGAGAACTTTCTAAAGTTCTTACATCTCTTGTTGCTGTTGTACTTTTTAAAAAAAATACTCTAACATTTTTTTTTACCCCATGTCGATTCCCTATCAAGGGAAGACACTTGATCTCAGTCATAATGCCTTAGCTTTGAATAAACCCAGCCATTGTCATGAATTGTCATTCATAGTTCAGTACTATGCATGGTGTCTGAATTGTAGCATATTCAAGATAATGTAACTTCTACTACCAGCTAGATTGTGCAACATATTAAACTGAAAGAAAAAGCATGCCATACAGAATTGGCATTTCTGGTAGTAGTTTATTATAATGTGGAATTATTTCATAATATTCTTGAAGAATTACTTCTATTTAAATTTGAAATTCACAGTGTTGAACAGTCCTGTGTGTAATGCTTCATGGAGTAATAACGGGTCAGTCTTATATATTAAATAGATAGAAAGTGTGTTCGTTAATAATGTAGTGTGTGACTCAAAAATCAAATCCGTTTTGCTTGTTGTCTTTTAGATATTTCAGAGGACTAATCCTCTTACTGTCCAGCAGTTAACAGCAGCACAACAGCAACAGTATGCACTGGCAGCAGCACAGCAGCCACATATAGGTGAGACATTTTAAAGTTTGTGATAAAAAGGGGTTTTGTTTCCTCTTCAAAAGACTATCCGTAGGATTGATAGATCTTAACCGATCATAGTTGGCTGTCTCTTTAGCTGCTGCAGTTGGAGTGAAGAAATTATCTAAACTTGGGAACCTTAATGAGAAGTGCCAGATTCTTCCACTTGATCTTTAGTGGATGCAGGACATGTACTGGGCGAATTGTTTTCTACCTGCAATACAACTTGACAATGAAGATTGCAAAAGTGCAAAGTAGAGTCGTAGTGTAGCAAGATAAAAGTATGCTCTTAGAAAGTACGTTCTAGTGTGAAATAAGCTTACAAAATGTTCTATTGCATATTACTTATTACATACTGAATTTTTAATATCAGCCGTGAAAATGAAATTGTCAGTTACAATTAAGGCCTTTTCAATTTTCTACCAATATTATCTGAAATCACATCAAACTTGTAGCATTTAAAAACTTGTGTGGTACAACACTATGTGCTGTGTCTGTTTTTGGTGAAATTGAACCTTTTGTTACTGTAACAGGTGTATTTTCGGCAGGGTTGGCTCCAGCTGCTTTTGTGCCAAATCCCTATATTATCAGTGCTGCTCCCCCAGGTGCTGACCCATATACAGCAGCAGGCTTGGCTGCCGCAGCTACCTTGGCAGGTAAGGCAATCCTGATTTCAGACAACTCTAGTATTGCATATTTTAAAAATATTTGTTTTAAAAGAGGTATAAATCATCACTCAAGTGAGTCAGATTGTTCCTCTTGATTTTCAGATATCAGATTTACTATGGACATCAGAGCACTCAGACCTCTTCATTTTCTATTGTGTCCATTTCTGTGGAATTAATTTTAACCAAGATTTTAATTTGTCTTTTCTACTCCTAGTTTTCTTAGACTCCCAAGTCCCATGTTCCTCGTCGTTCAACATTCAGCAGCAGAAAAACTAAACCAAATATTAGGAATTTATTGTCTTCCTTTTGAATGATGTCGCAAGATTGGGACAGGGCAGGAAAGAGAAGCATATCACTATTGTCAATATTTTAATTATAAATTGATACCATCAGATAAAATGTATCAAACCTGACATTTCAGAACAGACATCAAGCCATTCTTGGATTAAAATCCATAATCAAATATAGCATCATCTAAGTTGTTACCTTAATCTGTACATAGTGAAATTACTTTTTATTGGGCTTAAGTGATTTCTGTATGGCTATCTAAGAGAGTTTGTTATTTAGGGAGCTGCTGACTGGAAGGCTGATTCAAATCACAAAACTGAATGATTTATCCCCAGTTTTATTAATCTATGTGATTTTTAGGCATATAATAACTTTCCTAAATACTAATTTCAGGTGAATCTGGGATTACAACTATAGACCAGGCTATCATAGGGCTGCTCCAGGTGTATTTTCTCATTGTCCCATCTTCTAGATGGAGACAGATATCATTTAAGGCTGAAGAAGACAGATTCTACTAACACCTACCCTCCAATTGTTTATAAGTAAACCAGTTTCTTGTTCTACTATTGTTATCAGTTGATTCAAATTATTTGGCCACATCTAATTTCATTCTTAATAAATATTTGGTCTATAACCTTATTTGGATTACTATAGCCCAGTGTAATTAATGTAGGCCTTTACAGTCTCATTATTTGGTTTATGATAGCCTGGCTTCAGCCTTAGATTCCTACTGGCCGTTGTTAAAAACCCAAACAAATGCTTTGTAACAATTTTGCTGATAAGGAGAATCTGGCATAGTTTCTTAAAAGGAAGCTTTCTCATCAGAGGAGGAAGGGCTATTGAGTTGACCTTCGTGGTGAAATCTTAAATTATCAAAAGAACTCTAGAATATTGATTGGAATTGGGAGAAAATTTGAAAGAAAGGTACAAAGTGGCTAGCAACTAAAATGAACCTAGACAGCTCTGGTTGTTCAAGATTTATGGTATTAAAATGGTATGTGATATTAATATGGCATAATGTGGGCTAATACAGCTGAACTGAATTTGGCAGTGTTTATTCATTGAGAGATCTTGAAAAGATTGCTGAAGGGTTTTAGGCACAATTCAGAAAAGAGTGCTGAATGATTGGGAAGATACATTAGGTGGTGTGGTCTGCTCTGTTCTTCTTGAAGAGGGTGGAAAATCAAAGATTTGCCACTTAGAGAAAAGCCAGCTGCCAGCCTAATTAACAGAGGGAAAATTGGTGTCAGTGTCAGTAATTTATATGTCCTTCCTTAATTCTAAATAAGGAAGTAGGTAGGGTGCAGAAATAGAATACAGTTAGGCAGAAAGACAAGGTTATACAGTACATTCATACTATACCCATAGAAAAATCTTGTTACATAATATTAAATGAGAAAAAAGTTCAGCCATTCTACAGTTTAGAATCAAAGAGATTAGTGAAATCTAGAAATGAGTAGAAGAAGATGGGCGATCAGAACTTGGCACATCAACCATAAATCTATTAGCACTGTTAAAGAAAGCTGTGGGTTTGAAAGGAAAGGTTAACAAATAGAACATACTTTTTTTTTTTACTTTTGTGTCCATTGTATGATACTAAATAAATGTTTGGAAAGAATGGGACAAATTCTCCTCCCTATATTTAGATCTTTAAAGAGTTCACATTTTTAGATGGGTAGGATAATGATTCATGTTCTTTGTATATCGTTGCCCATCCCCTCTATTTTTTTTAATGTAAGTTTATTTTTTCCTTTTTATTATGTGCTGTAAGTCTGGATCTGTTAAATTATTTCAAGGCAATGATGCTTGTACACTGTTATCATAAATGCCGGCGTATAAGGCGACTTCCGCGAGCGCTGAAATCGGCGCCAAAGACGGGGGTCGTCTTATACGCCGAGTCGGTCTTATACGCAGGAAATACTGGTAGTTTCCGGCGTATAAGACGACGTTCTAGGAATGCGGCCCGGCTATAAAGACGGGGGTCGTCTTATACGCCGGGTCGCCTTGTACGCCGGCATTTACAGTAATTAAAATATATTGGGGTTCTAACTTTCGCTTTTTGGTATATCTGCTGATTTTCAGTATTGTAGACATTTAAGCCCCCTAGAAGCCTGATGGTAAGTGATTATATTTGCCTTGTGCCGTGATGTTTGTTTGGGAACCATTCTTGCTTAAATTTGGTTAAAATTTTTTGCGTATATATCTATCTGTCTGTCTGTCTACTCTATACTGTTAGTTTTGCCATTGCTGAGTACCCAAAGTCTAAGTTCCCATCTGATAAAATTGTATCTTTCTTCCAGTTTTAAACACAATTCATTCTCACTGCTGCAAGCATATCTTTCATTAAATTCTAATGTTTCTTGCTTTTTGCTGATACTATAACTAATAAAAAGCGATTTCATTTCCATTCTAAATTCCAAACTTTTCTGTGTTGTGCTATGTATATTTTTCTAATACTTTTGTGGGTTTTTTACATGTCCACCACATATTTGTTACTGTAAGATTTGTCTATCTTAGATATTAATGGAGTTGTATACCAGCTGTAGAATACATTGTATCAATTTTCTTTTAAATTTTAACTTGGTGTGATTTTATAGATTTAGTCTGTAATTCTTCCCACTGCAGTGTTGTAACTATTTCTTTAAAACTTTGCATCATTTTATCATATAGCTTTTGTTTGCTCTCTCTTGGTATAACATATCTAAGTACAAATTTATATAGAGTCCCTAACAGATGGTGCTGTTTTTGTATGAGTGTTTCAAAATTCTGTCTTTTTTCTTAATATCCCTCTTTTCTTCTTGAAATCTGATTTTAAATTTCTAGCAATTTGTAAGTACATCAACCAAGATATCTTCCAGTCTTCACTAAGTAGTTCTTGCTATCTTTTTAGAGTGAGTAAACCATATCTGCATCTGTAATTACATTTTTCTTGCTACAATTGTCTCCAATATGAAAAGCATTTCCTAGAAACACTAGAGATGAGCATATTATTCCCTTCATTGAGTTTCATGCTATTGTCACACTTTGTCTAATAATATGTCCTTTTAAATTTTTATCATCCTTTGTGGTCAGCAACGACTAGCAGAATAAAATTCACACTCCTTTACCTTTTTTTTTTTTGGTTTTTTTTTGTTTTGTTTTTTTTTTTTGTTTTGTATCTCTGCACCATAATTATGTATAAAGCTATTGGCTGGTTCCTTCCAAAATTGCTGTTCTACAATCAAAGGGTTTTATCTACTCTGTTATCCCCTACAAGCAGCTTGCTTTATGAGGCTATTTAGACTTTGGAAGAGCAAGATCATCTCTCTGGAATCATGTAGGACTTTTTTGTTCTAAACTGGGTCCCACTGTGCATAAACTTACTGACAGTTTCTTACCATTCTTGAGTTAAATTCTGATTGACGCCATTAGGAATAGATAGTTTCTCTTGGGTAATACATTTATTTTGATCATTGAAACTCATCCTAACCACTTTAAGGAAGATTTCTACCTTTCAAGATCTCTTTTAATTTCTTGCCATAATTTAACATAGAAGTGGTCCTCATTTAGAGACGTTTCCCAGTTACACAGGTGATAAAGCAATTTTATCATGAGTCCTTACATTTACAACCTTCACAGGTCTGTAAAATAAAGGAAAGCTGACAATCATAAGCATAGTTGTTTCACTGAGCAACCACTTAACAACCAAGTTGCCGATACCAGTAGTCACTAAATGAGGACCTCCTGTAGTTAGTTTGCTATTAAAATAAGGTATTTCATTAAATGAGCCATCTGACAGAATGAGCTTCCTGTAGAAGATTAGTTTCTCTTTGTGTTTAAAAATCTTGTGATTTTTGATTTGGAATGCAGAATATTCTCCAAAACGATTGTTTTCATCAACTATTTTATACCCTATTGTGGTTATGTAATAATACCATGTCATTTGGATAACTCCTTGCCACAAATTCTGAGACCTCTTATTTGTTTATCAGGCTTTTTCTGCCAGTATTTGTAAAGCAATGTTAAAGTGGACATCCTTGTTTTCTTCCTTTATTTATTTGGAAATCTGGAGAGAGCATTCCATTAGCCATAGTCATCACTTTTAACCTAAGCTTGAAATTTTTCTGACTAAAATATTATTTTATTCAATACTGCCAGCAGAAATTGTCACTGAAAATTGTCAAAGGCTTTTTCCACATCCTCTTCCAAATCAGTGCATCTTTCTTCCTTTTTTTGTTTTTAGGTTCTGTTATATTGATTATAACCCTACTGTTGTTCTTTGTATTTCTCTTTGGGATAAAACCAGTTTGGTCAATAGGTGTGAAATCTGGTATACTTTTCTTTAGTCCGTCAGGTAATATTGTTGCAAAAAACTTGTAATCTACCTTCAGTTGTTCTAGAGCAGGGGTGTCAAACTGCTGGCTTGCGGGCCGGTTGCATCATGTGGTGCCTGCGCCTACCCCAGCTCCGGCAATGCAAAAAAAGTCGCAGTATGTCGCGACACGTCACATGACACGGCAAGTTTGACATCTGTGTTCTAGAGGGTAGGCACTGCTGCAGAGAAGTTTGTAGCACCTTGAATCATACCTGGAGGCAAGCCAAATCAGTGCAACTCTCAAAGAAGAAGGGTTACATGGGCATTCTTTCTCTTTAAAAATTTAAGTTACCTAAACATTAGACCAGTGATGGCGAACCTTTTAGAGACCGAGTGCCCAAAAACTGGCCCCACCCCCGCTCCACCCCCTGTCCCGCCCCTGCCCTGCCCCACCCCACCTGCCCGCAGGGCCACTCACCGCCTCCAGGGCCCACTGAAGATCACCCAGCAGCACCATGGTGGCCACGCCCTCTGCGCCCCGCAGCATCAACTGCGCAATGGGGCGTGAGGGCAGAGTCTTGTCTACGCTGTCTGGCTGCCATGTCCTTGGCTGCATTGCTCTGCATGGGCCATGCTCGAGGGTGACTCTCCTCCAGGGGGGCTGCTGGTGAGGGGGTTGCGGGGGGAGGCAAGGCTGGGGCAACGGCACATGTGCCCACAGAGAGGGCTCCGAGTGCCGCCTCTGGCACCTGTGCCATAGGTTCACCACCACTGCATTAGACAATTAATAATTTCCAATCAATACTATATAAACAGTGCAAGTAGTTCCCAACTTACTAGCACAATTGGGGGGGGGGTAGAATTTTGGTGATAAGTTGAGACTCCCAGATGTCCAGACTTGTTTTGATGACTATTTTTATGGTAGTCATTAAGCAAATCTGTTCTCCCAATTGGGCATTTTTGGGATTACAAATCAGGGTCACATGATCCTGGGATGTTGAAACCAGTTGTAAATGTGAGCCAGTTGCCAATCTGCTTAAAATATGGTTGTGACTGCAGGGAGATAGCACAAAATTTTACAACTGCCGGAAGTCCTTTACAGGCCATATTGTACCCTTTCCAAGCCTTTGTAACTCCAAATAGTCAGTAAACTCCAATTACAAAATTTATTCTAAGTATATGGCTTTACCCCCAGCGTATTGTGTTTTAAACAACTAAAGATATGCCTATTCAACCAAGTATTTGTAAGATAGCTGTTTAGGTTCAGACTATCCTGATTGCTTTTGAAAACTGCTTTCATTTTATTGTCTTGGATTAATGGTCTTACTTTTTTGTATGCCACCATGTCTCCTTTGGAAGAAATTGCACTATAAAACAAAAATAATTTTTAATATTAAATGGATTTTTATTTTCCACTGGGTTTTTGTACACTAAAGTTCTTAAAAGATTGCTTAGGAAGTGTTGCTACCTAATGTGCCTCAGCTGATGCATAGGTAGAAAATGAGCAAGAATTTTATAAAATTACAGGAAAGCTTCACTTGACTATTCTTTTTATATTATGTATCAGATTATACATGAAACATTGATTTGAATGGGGAAAAGAAAAAAACATAATTGTCTCACTAAAATCAAATTGTAAAAAGATTCAATTTGACTAGTTTATGTTTCAGATGTACTCTTTTATTACCGTATATGCCAGCGTATTAGGCGACCCGGCGTATAAGACGACCCCCGTCTTTATAGCCGGGCCGCATTCCTAGAACGTCAAGACGACTCGGCGTATAAGACGACCCCCGTCTTTGGCGCCGATTTCAGCGCTCGCGGAAGTCGTCTTATACGCCGGCATTTACGGTAACTGTAAATTAACCTTCCACATATTGCTTTAAAATGTTAGGGACAAAAGAAAGCCGTCTTTTGGTTGACAGGGGATTTAAGTTTTTTCTTGGGGGCATTTTGATATCACATATGTAGTGATGTTTGCTTATTTATGATAATATTAGGTAATTGCCAAGTTACTTTTGTTCCCAAAGCATTGGAAGGTAAAAATATAAATATTTTGATAAAAATCTTTTCTTTGTCAGGGCCAGCAGTTGTTCCTCCTCAGTATTATGGAGTTCCGTGGGGTGTGTATCCAGCCAATTTGTTTCAACAGCAAGCAGCCGCCGCAGCAAACAGCACTGCCAATCAGCAGGCTGCATCACAGGCACAACAAGGACAGCAGCAGGTAAACCAGACAGATAGACATGCCAAAATATTTTTTTGTTGTATATTTTGCCATCTAGCAGGCTATATGTTCTCTGTGTGTATGTGTGTTTGAGAGGTATGTGGTGTGTTTAGAAAATACTCCTACATGGTTCTTAGGCTTAGCAGTCCAAAATCTCCAATTCTTCAAGAGTATTTATCTTCAGGTTGGTCTGCCATTTTTAGTGTTCTTTAAACCATGATGTCGATTGAACTTGATTTTTGAAGCAGACATACTTAAGCTTTTTTTTTTCTTTCTGTTCACTAGTTAAATTCACATAGGCATTATGTTGGCTTTTGTGTGTGTGTGAATTTGACAAAGCAACACCCCATAGCAGCAAAGATCAAAATCAGAAAATGGCAGAAAGCCAGAAATCAACCCACCTGAAGGATGACTTGCTCTAAATTTTACCTTGGAATAAATGGGAAAGCTATTGATTGCTCTCACCTAGTCCCTATTCTAATTTATATATGAACATCACAGAGACATCTCATTTATTAGCATGCCCTACAAAATAGTTGTGGATCACACTATTTCTCATTTCCATAGTTCTCTGCCAACTACCGTACCAAATCTACCAAGCTGATTCCACAAGTAGAGATCATATTTCTAGAAGGGCTGTTTGTCTAGCTCAGGCATGTCAAACTCGCGATGTCATGTGACATCGCGTGACGTATAGGGACTTTTTCCGCATTGCCGGCAATGGAGTGGGTGCGGTTTGGGTGTGATGCATCCGGCCGGTAGGCCAGCAGTTTGACATGCCTGGTTTAGCTGATATGATGGCCACCAATTTTTATTACATGGCAAGGAAGAGTTCAAGATTTGCAAAGGGTGAAGGAATTGGCAAAAAGTGGTTTCCTGCATGTATAAACAGAATGGCATTTGCTGTTTAAAACTGGAAACAGAAAACGTCTCTTGGCATCAAAAATTGAGTTTATATGAAAATAATTAACCAAGGTATTGATGACATATTGCTGATGTCTCAGGAGTATTTCAGAGGGAATTGTATTATACAAATATGTTTGAACAACATAATTCACTGCATTATTAAAAGAAATGGCCTGTTTTTAATTATTTTAATTCATTTTAATGTTCCTTTGTAATTTAAATTAGTGCCTGTTATTAGGTGGTAAATCTTAGGCTCATACAGATGTAATATTTCTTGGCTCCTAATCATACTTAGATTCCTTTCTCCTTTCATTCCTTTTTTCACAGCTAACTTTGATTTAATGTTATATCGGTTTGGTAATAAGTTAATTGAAGGATAGTTAGAAGGTGGCTTTAAAACTAATGTTTAAATTTTATTAATGATCACTACTATTAGCCTATTCAATACTTCATGATTAGTTAGAAAAACACAAGAAATTTGCATGTGATACGGATTTTAAAGCAAAATGACTGTATCAGGCTATGTCTGCACTAAGCCTTAAGGACAGTATTTTATGAGCGATACTTCTGTGTTTCATGCTATTTCCTATTACACATCAGAACTGAGAGATTTCTTTATTTTTCATGAGGATAATTAATAAAGAATAATTGGATATATAACTTTAGACAAAAATGTTAACTTTTTCTTAAAATAGCTCTCAATTGAAAAGAATTCTCTAGTAAAGAAATTTTAAAAAATAACTTTGATGACACATGAATAAAGGAGTATGAAAATGTTTCTTTTTCAAGAATTATTATTGAGGTCACACATCAGATTAGGTTTATTAATCTTTTGCCCCTAATATCCTTTTTGTGATTTACCATATTGTATTTTCAGTTTCATCTGAATAACAGGTGAAAGATGCTAATTATCTATAATTTGAAATGTTTGTAGAGTAAAAATACTAATTCAGTACTCAGGAGTTCAACCTGATCTGTATTGACTGTGATTGGCAACTGTTGACCATGGTTAAAAGTACTGAGGGTTACTTGGACTAGATAAAATGTGCTAAGAAAGAGGTCATTATTATCTGTTAACAATTCTTTCTGTATGATTTTGGACCAACAAGTGTTATACCTGCAATGATCCAAGAGAGTAAATATTTCACTAAACCTAGTAATCCCAATTTCCTGGTAACTGCAATTTTAAGAATGTTAAGAAACACAATGTAAAGGCTAGTGATGGCTATAAAAATGGAATTCTTATCTGCTTGCCATGCTTATCTACTGCAATGTGTGAAATTTAATTCCTTGCCATTTCTTGAGTTATGTTTAGCAGTATTGGACTATAAAAAACTTCATGTCTTAAACTTGCACCTCTTATGCTGCATATTTTCTATCAAAATAATCTACTAGTAGTACACATTTCTTTTGTTTATACACTTAAAAAACTACAGTGAAAGCCATTGGTCTTTTGTAGGTTCTTCGTACTGGAGGAAATCAGCGCCCTCTTACTCCCAATCAGAGTCAGCAAGGGCAGCAGGCAGAGTCACTTGCAGCAGCTGCAGCAGCAAATCCAGCTTTGGCTTTTGGTCAGGGTCTTGCCACTGGCATGCCAGGTATATAATGATGAGTCAAGAAAACCAAAAATGAACTCAGTCTAAACATCCTGAAAACTTGATGTTATCACAATAGCCTGTTTAGCTGTAATTTCTTTATAACTGTTGATTAGCCTGAATAAAACTCTTGAAATGTGATTTTATAACTGGCAGGATCAGCACAGAAGAATGCATATGGAGAAAAGCAAAGATTTTGGAATAATATATAAAGTAATAACCTGTTTCCAGCCCTCTAGCATAGGGTGTTGTATCTATACTACTCCCCCCAAATTAAAATTCGCCAGTTCTAATCTCCCACGTAATAGAGTTGGAAAACTAGGGAATGATAATAGTGTTCATGTAAAAATGGGCCTTGTTTTATTTCTGTAGTTTGTTTTCTGCTGCAGCCTTGTGTACTCTCCAAAATATCCATGCCAGGAACCATTTGAAATAGAAAATGAACCACAAATGAAAGGCAGTTCCTATGTGCAAGCAGAAATGTCCCAACTAAACAGCTTGTATCCAGTACCATTTTAATGTGCTTATCTTAAAGTGTATTTAGTATTTGTTATAATAGACAATGTATAACTTAGAACTCAGTTCAGTAACATTTCAGAAATGTTATTTTTTTTTAAAAAAGGTATTCTACCTTAATCCATATTATTTATATTTATATATATGTTGATATTAAAGCATGTATTTAGAGATTTCCTTTGGTTAATACTAAATTAGATTTGTAATGTATGCATTTCTAAATTAGAAATTTAATTTGCATGCATAGCATTTAAGTGTTGTGGTGCTGATAATGCAGCTCTGTTTCTCTGCTTTTATACAGACCACAAAGCTGCAACTGGCTATTATGGAGTTTCTTTATTGCATAATAGTAAGATTTTGTAAGAGAGTTTAAACTTGCTGATAATACACAGCTATGGTTACTTTGCCTGTGAGTGCAAAAGGATAGCTTTGAGCACTTTTCATTTGGAATATTTCATCTTCTTAGCAAATGGTTCATTTGATGATATTCAGAATAGAAGGTGAAACTTTGCAGTACTTTTTGTGCAGTATGGTTGACCAAGTAAGGTGTGTTCCCTTGGCCAGTTGAATCACTCCTGTTCACCAGGAGTGCAGTTTCAGTTGATCATTCAGACAACCATTTCAGATTTCTTTCAGTTACTGCAAAGGAGTCTTGAGAGGCTGTCAGTTCCTTCTCTCTCTCCTTCACCCCTTGGAGCAAATTAAAAATCCAGGGTGCTTTGATCATGAATAGGTATGGATTATCCATGCATTCGTTTGCAGTAGGTAAAACATAACAAGAATACAAATAAAATGCTTGAAGAGAGCCATTTTGTAGTACCACTTGGTAGAGATAGTTTAAATTTCTAATTGGTCCTGTCTCTACCATTAAGTGAATTATCATGTTCTCCTCACAACTAGTGTCTCTTCTCTGATCTAGTTAAGCCTGTTGTATGAATATTATTTATCTATCTATCTAATCTATCTAATTTTGCATTTTCATGCAAGCAAGGGTCTCCTTTTTCTCTGGATAGAGTAATCTAATTTGTTACAGAATCCTTACATGCAAAAAAAGAACAAACATTCCCTACAAACATTTGCAGCTGAGATTTACATATTATGTTAGACAAACTTCAGTAGGTATTTACATATACTGCTGTTCCGGGAAAAATTTGCTAAGTGAAAAATTTGATCTTGGGCATTGCCTAATATTGCTGTTTTAAAGTTATTTAGAATGTTTTCTTGATTGCATTTAACTGTTTAACAACTAAATAGAAGGTGTAGGAACCCTTAGCATTCAGAGATACAAGTATTCTCATCATACTGTATATAGCTTTATTATGTATCAGTGCCATGTAGTTTCATTTACACTGAATTCAATTTTAGTTGGCAGAGCCAGACTATTTATAATTTTAGGCATTAAAGAGAGTTTAAGGGGACATAATAGCAATTTTTTTCTAAGTAAACACGTTCTATGGTATGAGAATGGGTATCTATCCATGTATACTTGGAACTAAGTTTTACAATATTTCACCTCACCCTCTCCTCTTTTAAAATTATTCTAGTAAAATAAAGATACCAGAGACTTTGTCCAGTAAATTGCAGTTAGATATTTTTGGAGATTTAAAAAGGTAAATTTATTTAAAAAAAAATTAAAAGAAAGAAAGAATTAGCATATTTGCTAAAATACAATGCCAAACAAGTACTATAATGATTAAGTTGATGGTGTTAACCAATTTAACATTGATTAAGTTCATCCAATGGTAATTGAAGTGGCTTAGGTAAATCAGGGAAGATTGAATTCAATGTTATGAAAAAAACTAATGCAAAGACTACAGGAAAACACTGTAGATCTCGATTTTGGATACTTCAGGTGTATTTTACCTGACTTGAGAACCTTTTAATAAGCAGAATAGAAATAAAAAAATGATCAGTGCTGCACCATTAGTATGCTCATACTTGTAGAATAATTAAGTAATGCTTTCTTCTTAAAACTCAAAGTCAATATGAAGTACAGGCAGTCCTCAACTTATATCCATTCATTTAGTGACTGTTCAAAGTTTCAATGGCACTGAAAAAAGTGACTTCTGACCGTTTTTCACATTTACGAATGTAAATTGTAAATTGTTATATTACTTTTAATATCCTCTAACAGATTATTCTACATTCTTTACAGAGGAGCAGTGAGCAGAAAGCAGTGAAAACCTGATCATTTGCTAGCACGTGAAAATATTAGCGAAGGTAGTAGAACAGAACAGCACAGTTTAGTTTTGTATATGCATCTATAATATGAAACACAATAATTCCATTTTTCAGAAGCATATTCTGCTGACAATACATGAGTAGTGATGATTTAACTCTGCATCATCTGTTTTGTTACCCTTTTGTCTGTTTGATATATTTGCTAGAGAGAGAGAGAGATGTATGCCAGACATCAGATACAATTCTTTCTAGGATTACGTCTGTAGAATGTTGCCATTCAGAACATGGTTAGCCACTGCTCTTGAAGAATGGGATGCTGGATGATTTTGCAGAAGTTTCTACTTGCTTTAGTTTCTTTGATAGATTTTAGCATTCTTGTTAATAGGATAAGTACAGTATCACGAGGAGCATTTTGCTAGAATTAAGAGAGAATTGCCACTGTAATTTGGTTATAGCATTTTACCTCATGGGACCAGGGGAATGATGGATCATATGGTTTTGTGATGCCTTGAGAATTTTCTAGAAAATACAGCCCTGCTAAGATTTCCTGGTCTTTATTTGGAATTAAGGAATATTCACTCTAGAATGCACATATTTTGGAAGGCTTGGAGCAATAAAGTATCACGGGTTCTAGCTGAACCATGAGTGCCAGGAAATTTGTAAGTCTGTCTTAGATCTTACTCTAGCAATGGTGATAAGAGCGTAAAGTGATCGGTTAGCCAAAATAATTTTATAGATCCCTTTTGAGTTGGAATGGGCTTTAGGAAAAGCCATGCAAAGCAATAGCATGAAATCTTAGAACAGCTCTGTCCTATTTGCAAAACATTCTCAATTATGTTGAGCACTTAGACATATTCTAATTCAAATTTACTGTTGGAGGCAGAAATAACCTCAGACCTCCTGATACATCACAATTACATACCTGTAATCTGCAGAAATTACTAACTATAATTACTATGCTATATTATTATAGTTACTATATTAGTAACCATAACATCCCTCACACCATGCCAGCTGCAGGAGCTAGGACAGCGATGGCGAACCTTTTAAAGACTGAATGCCCAAATTGCAACCCAAACCCCACTTATTTATCGTCTGGTGCCGGGTGGGCATGGCCCACTGGGTGGGTCTGACTGCAGTGGGCATGGCCAGGGTGGGCGTGGCCACCTCAATGTTGCTCGTGGGGAGGGATGCCTGCGGGGGCCAGGCAGAGTTGGGTGAGATTCAGGGGGTCTCTGGTGGGTGGGACGGTAGGCAGGAGACTCGTCCTGCGGGTTGAGGCAAGGCAGGGGGCAGGGCAGGGGTGCCATTGCCGCGAGGCAGGGGCCGGGGCAGCTGCTGCTGCCTGACACCATCGACCTCCGCACACAGCGAGTGCATGGGGGCCAACTGTGGCCGTCAGCAGCCTCAGTCTGCCGGCCCCTCAACCAGCACACTCTGGGGCTCCGCAACCCGCTGCGAATACTGGACCAGCCCTCCAGCAGCAGGCAGAGGAGAGGAGGGGGCATCCAGTATACTGGTTCCTTACCTCCGCCCGGCTTGTTCCGTGGCCTCATGGCAGCAGCATTGGGTGCGATGCACGAAGTGGCAAATGGCCGGTTTTGGTGTGATGTGGCTATTTGCCGCCAGCCACAGCCATTTGCCACCTTGCATGTCATACCCAATGCCGCTGCCATGAGGCTGTGGAACAAGCCGAGTGACGGTAAGGAACCGGTATACTGGATCCCCCCTCCCCTCCTCCGCCTGCTGCTGGAAGACTTGCAATGCAGCTCGGCCGAAAGCAGCCATGGAACAAGTGGGGCAGGTTCCCCCCTCATCTGTCCATTCAGCTACAGCTTTGGTGGCTTTGTAGGCAGAGTTGTGAGCCACCAAAGCAGCCACCAAAGCAGCAGGTGGAGTGCTGGAGGCTCGGGGAGGGAGGGTGGTGAAGTGGGCGGTCGGGCCATTGGCAAGAGCAACGCGGTTGAGTGAAAAGCAGCCTCAGAACAAGTGGGGCAGGTAAGGAAAGAAATCCTCCCTCCCCCAGAAATTGCCTTTCTTTCCTTACCTGACTCCCAGCCCCATGCCATTTCTGCTTCGCGATCTGCCGCTGACACTTGCAAGGAAACAAAGGAAGTTTTTTTGGGGGGGGGGGGAATAAAGTTCAATCAATGAATTCCAACTTTGTGAAATCTCTTTTTTTTCCTGCGAGAAGTTGAAATTGATTGATCGAACTTTTTTTTTTTTTTGCACATGGCGGCGGAGGCCTAAAGCAAAAAGGGTTTTATAAAACCCAGCTTTTAAAAAGTCACTTGCTCGGGGAGATTTTTATGCAGGTTGCTCATGGATGGGACTGAAGGCCTAGGACTGGGGCAATGGCGCACGTGCCCACAGGGGGCTCTGAGTGCCGCAGGTTCGCCACCACAGAGCTCCTAGCTCTGTATCCAGAAAATCACAAGTTATTACTTTGGTAAATTATCAGAAAATAAGTGGGTGACAACTTCGAAAAAATTGGGTTCGGAAATTATGTTGTTTATGCTGGTATTTTACTGAATTATTTAATGGGAGGAATATAGGATGCCCAAAATCATTGGAAAAATTATCTTAGAATGTATTGCTTTTGAGGTGCATGTTCAAAAAAATGACCAATCTACTGTGGTTATAGATTGATTTTATTTGCCCTGAATGAACCTCAGTGTAGTGCTGTGTAACTTGACACTATCTTGGGGGAACTTATGGGAATTGTGACAGTTGGTTTTTTACACAGTGGGAATAGTATTCCTGTCCTACCTGAAAAGGGCTTATCAATATGCATATTTTGGTGATTTCTGAAATGGATAATTTTAATGTGCTCTGCATAAAGCTACCTTTAGTGATAATTCAGAAATTTCACCTGTTGCAGTATAGGGCTGCACAAATAATGGTTGAAACCTGCTGATCATTCATGTGATAGTGATATTGCTCCAGCTGCCTATGTTCTATCACATTTTCAAATCCAATTTAAAGTTAGGATTTTAACTTTTAAAGCTTGGATTATTTGGACTCAGCTTAAAGATAGTTATTAGCTTCCCCATTTTCACCATATGTTGCTACCAGGGACTCATTAAAATAACCCAATTTGATCTTTTGTTGTGGATTTGTCAGGAACCTTTTTTAAAATACTGCTTTATTCTTACGAATGCTTTGTTGGGTGGTTAGAATCTGTTTTTCAAGTATTATATAAAACAAAATTGTCCGTAAGAAAACTTAAGTTGCCTAGGCTATCCTCCCCCTCCCCAATAATCTTATATCTTGCACAGCTCAGAAATAATTTTGACTTTTATAACTGTAATATATAAAGTTCATTTCATAAAGTGGAAACTCTAAAATGGGCGTTAAACTGCCGGCCCGCGGACTGGATGCGTCATGCCGAAACTGCGCCCACCCCATTGCCGGCAATGGAAAAAAAGTCATGATACGTTGCGACACGTCACGTTGCAAGTTTGACACCCCTGCTCTAAAAGCATGTGCTTGCTGCTTCTTTGCAATAAGCTTTAGGAGAGTGCTATCACAATCTTATACTGCTTTGTACCTGATAAAATTTAATATATATGAAGTTTATATTCCATCCAATAACATAATCTGATATAGGAAGACCTTGGTGCTCTCTAAGTTTGGTTGTTTGTTTGCCAATGTTTCATTATCCAACTAGGTAATATCAGTGCAATAGTGAGTTTTGTTCCCTGTTTATATACAAAAGCTTGCCCTGCCAGCTTTGATGTGGGTGGGGTTTTCTCCCTGATAGTTCCTTGATTAGGCTGTGAAACATCCCCCCACACACCAAAACTGGCAGTGCAAGTTACAATACATAAAAAGGGAGAAAACCCCACTCTCATGCTGATGATGTTACTTAGTTGGGTAATGAAACATTGGCAAGCAAGCATTGAAAACTCCATAGTTTGAACTGAGCTACATATATGCTTTTCTATTATAATCTGATAATCCCCCCCCCTTTTTTTTCCCTTGAGCAACTTGCTTGATGAAATGATTGAAACTCAAAAAGACTTCAGCTGGCCCAGTAAAAGTGTTGCTAAGATGGCCAGCATATCTAATTCTTTTGTAATTCATCTGTTACTGTTTTACGACACATCTTTTTACATATTCTGCTTTGGAACAGTGCTACCTTAATGCTTCCTTTAAAAGGTTAATTTTGCCTGGCTAAGAAAAAGATCTGGATCTATCTTGCATTTTTTTCCTAGCTTGGAAAGATCAGGAGAAGTTGCCAGGAGAGTGTGATGTGATGGCACATGAATGAATAACTAGATGAAGGCAGGAGGGAAGGGCACGTTTGTTCAGTCTGGGATTAATCTATTTAGCCTTGAACAAAAACATATGTAGCGTACTGTATTGAGTAATATTTAAGTACAAAAAGAATAAGGATTTCAGTTCTAGAAAACAGATGACATCTACCACTTTGCTCAAAATTAAAATTAAAATAGCCAGTTAGTTGCAAAATGAAATCTTCACTCTAAAACTTATTAGATTGTGTGTTTTGTATTGATCAGGCTATCAAGTGCTAGCCCCCACTGCCTATTACGATCAGACAGGTGCCTTGGTGGTAGGTCCAGGGGCCAGAACTGGGCTTGGAGCACCCGTCAGGTTGGTGGCTTCAGCACCTGTTATCATCAGTTCTGCAGCCGCACAAGCAGGTAAGTAGCTTTTTTGCAATTTTATTTTATTTTTAAAATGGTCTAACAGATCTTTTCCCTCTTTGCAGTCTTCTAGATATTATTATTCAGAATATTTATTTGTTGCCACTCTTACACATAGATGCAGGAACATTCTCATCTAGGATATTTCTCTTGACATTTCTTCTGTCATTTGTCCCAGAGGCATAAAAGATTTCAGTTACTGTGTTTTTTTAAAAAAATTAATTCAGAAGTACTCCCCATTCTTTTTATTTGTGGCATAGTGTAAAAAAATGTCTGGATGAAACAACAATGACCAGAGTAATGAGTAATAGTCTCAGTCTGTTATAGTTAAAATAAATTCTTTCTTTCTGTTAAAGAATACAAGTAATCCTCAACTTGCAATCACAATTGGGACCAGAATCTTGGTCACTGAGTGAAGCGGTTGTTAAGCGAGATGTTACACTCAATGACAGCAATTCAGGCAATCCCGTTTGTTGCCCTTAAGCAATTTTGCAGGGCATTAAGTGGACAGAGTCCCAACTAAGGAAAATTGGGAGCCTAGGAGGTCTGGTGCAGGCTACTTATAAGTGTCTCTGAGCTCAGAAGCTGCAAAACAGAAAAAAAGCTGCCTGCTAAAGGATTTCAGCTCCTGCCTGGTTAGATTTCAAGTCCAAGCAATGGAGCTCAAATTCTTTCACAGGCAACTCTTTTAAGAGTGCAAGAGCACTCTTCCTTATCAGTTTTCCCATTGATTTTCTGGGAAAGTCAGCAGAGAAGGTTGCAAATAGCAATCACGTGACTGCAGGGAACTTGACAACCGGTCATAAGTAGAAACAGATTGGGAAGCACCCAGATCCTGGTCATTTGACCATGCAGAGGTGATGCTTTGCGATGGAAGTACTTTACAGTGTAAAGTATTTTTTCCGAGTCTATTGTTAATACAAACTGTTCTTAAGCAAATGGTTTTAAATCAAGGACTACTTATATATTTGTTATAAAGATTATACAAATCTGTGTAGCCTTTTACCTTAAGAAATCTTGATTAGGATGCTGTTGTTGGGACATGGAGAAATGATTCAGTGGCGAAAATTTTCCTTTCTTTTGGTATTAAATAATTGGGCATTGCCCAGATGTTTTCTAGATAAGTAAAGGTATTTACTGAATTAATAGTAAAGCATGAATTTAAGGTATGTTAAGTGTTGTAATTTTTGTTTATTGTTGGACATGCAGTTCAGAGGTTGAAGCTTATTTATATGATTTGTGCTTGTCCTGCTTTTTTGCCATATTTGGGTGTCAAAGTCATGGGATTATCAACATTAAATTGATAAAATAAACAGTAAATTTTACTTTGGAAATTTTACTTTCCAAAGAACCATATTCTTCTTGACTATTACCCCCAATTTGGAGTTAATCAAACTCAAGAACTATGATGTCTTTTTGAAGGGAAAAGATAACAGGATGAATTTATGCTTGATCTGTCCAAATAAATTTTTGATACATTGCATTCAGTTTGTCTACACTTAAATTAATCTTTATCTAACAGAGGGGAAAGAAAAGTTGGCCTTCTGGCTCTCCTCTCTTTTTCATTTCAACATATTTTTATAGTCTATATTGACTGAATTAAAAATAATAATTAGCAAACTACATGATTATGTCTTAGCATTTCTTAATGCCTCTGGAGGAAGACAGCCATCGACCGTATTATTACAGTATTAGTATAACACTGAAAGATGAATTTAATATCTGTAATTTTTCTTATATATATTATAATATATTGCTGCTGTCACAATAACTTGTAGGGGATATTAAATACAGGTAATCCCTGAGTTACGAGCCTTCACTTAACGCTCATTTGAAGTTACGTGATGAGCACCCCCTAGTGCTTACGAGCAAGTTATGAAGTTACGAATATTGCAGCACTACGGCAGTTGTTCACCCTTACGAGTAACTTCAGTTGCACTGTAACATTCACCCTATTTCCCCCCCCCCCACTCCTGACAACTGCTTCCCCCTCCCTTCCTGCCATGCCGAACTCACCTTGCAAAAATCCTCTCTGCCACGGTTTCTTTCCATTTGAGGGAGAGGAGAGTGTTTGAAGTTGCGCCAATCACAGACCTCAGAAACTTTCATTCTCTATGCAAAAGGTATCTGTCTCCTGCTCCTGCCCCCAACTCCTTTCTGCTGACAGAAAGCCTGAAGCCTTCAACTGAAGGAGAAGGTCAGGCCCCTCGCACCCGTGTCCAGCCCGCCGGAGCGTGCCATGCTGGGGGAGAAAGTGACCCCTTGTCACTGGAGCCTTGGAGCCCTCCTCCAAGTGGCCCAGAACAAGCTGGGGAGGCTTCTGCATGCCTCTGGAGGTTGGATTCAGCCCTCAGAGGACTGCTCCAAGCTGCTGCCGCCCGGAACAGAACTTCCAAGGGCCTGATCCAAGCCTCAGAGGTGTTTTCCTAGCCATTTGCATCAGGAACAGAGGTGGGGGGGGGACTTCTGCATGCCTCCAGAGGTTGAATCCAGCCCTTCAGGGACTGCTGCAAGCTGCTGCCTCCCGGAACAGAACTTCCAAGGGCCTGATCCAAGCCTCGCAGGTATTTTCCTAGATGTTTGCACCAGGAACGGAGGTGGGAGGGCTTCTGCATGCCTCCAGAGATTGGATTCAGCCCTCAGAGGACTGCTCCAAGCTGCCGCCGCCTGGAACAGAGCTTCCAAGCCTCAGAGGCATTTTCCTAGCTGTTTGTGCCAGGAACGGAGGTGTGTGTGTGGGGGCTTCTGCATGCCTCTGGAGCTTCGTTCCAGGCAGCAGCTTGGAACAGTCCTCCGAGGGCTGGATCCAACCTCTGGAGGCATGCAGATCCGTTCCTGGTGCAAACGGCTAGGAAAACCCCTCCAATGCTTGGATCAGGCCCTTGGAAGTTCCATGCACCTCCGTGGCCCAATCCGGGCTCCGGAAGCATTTTCCTGGCTGTTGCCAACTGGATCTAAGGCTGGGGGATGCTTCTGCACCCTGCTGCGGCCCGATCTGAGCTCTGGAGGTGCTTTCCAGGCCCAATCGGGCCACGGGGAGGGGGCTGCGGAAGCGTTCTCTGGCCTCAAATCCGGGCGGCAGTGGCCTGGAAAAGACCTCTGAGTCTGGATCAGGCTGCAGGGGGGTGCGGAAATGTTCCGCGGCCTCAAATCCGAGTGGCAGCAGTTTGGAAAAGACCTCCGGAGCCCAGATCAGGCCACGAGGGGAGATGTGTAGTAGTGGCAGCAGAAACCACGGCAGGGAGGAGATGGATCTTTTACAGGTGAGTCCAACGCAACAGGAAGGGAGAGGGAAGCACGCGGTATCTTAATGGGTCGGGGAGGCCTTGGGAGCCTGTTCTAGCACTAGTCCCTCCAAGGCCTTCCCCACCCTGAGATGTTCGCTTGACGAGCCGTGTGCATTTCAATAAGCAAGGGAGTAATCTTGTACCTCGAACGAAATTCACTCTATGAGTTTTCCAGTTACAAGTGGAATGGGCAGACCCCATTGCACTCGTAACTCGAGGACTACCTGTATTTTTATTTTGTACCCTGATTAAAACAGCTTAAATATGTTGTATTCTAAACTGAATGTGTTCAAAAGAAACAAAATGTGGAATGCTTGCAGTGTTCTACCTCAGGAACTCATAGAGTAAGAAGCTTATTCTGCATTCCCTTAAATGCATAAATAAAATGATAGTCCATGCTTACTGCTACCTATCACCTAGCTTAGAGGAAAAAAAATGGCAAAGGGAATGAGTTTTTTTTAAAAAAATCAAAAGCAGCTATGGGAGTTGAGCATATACACAATATTACTACTAATTGAATAGCAGTAGCATCAAACATATTCTCTGGCTATTGACTTGAGGCCTGTATTTTAAGCATTTGGTAATCTGCCAGTGTCGCTTAAGAAACAAACAATGTAGTATTTATATTTAGCATTAAGCATGAACATTTCAGTTCATTAACTGAATATAGATACACATATTAAAGCTGAAAAACAAACCAAAGGGCCATTGCATTGGCATTTTAAAAATTTAGAATTGGAAAATCTCAACACTGTTAGCAATATTTGGCAGAGCTCAGTATTGATCGTTGCATTTGTCCATCACAGGGTGTGAGACTTTAGGAACTGAAACCATTTGAGTGAAGCAGCCCCATTTATTTAAGATAGCATTCTCAGAATACTAATATATCCCTATTATTGTTTCTTAGGCATCATAATGAAAATTTGCCTTTATGAAAAATTTTAATAGTGCCCTATTTCTAAAACTTGAAATGTTCTACATTCCTACTGATTATTGAAAACCATGGTGTCTTTCAGCTGCTGCAGCTTCAGCTGGAGGAACAGCAAACAATATCACAGGAACCACAAATGGGCTTTTTCGGCCCCTTGGTCCTCAGCCTCAACAGCAGCAACAGCAGACAAACAACAGTCTACAGTCTAATTCATTTTATGGCAACAATACTTTAACCAATAATTCTCAGAGCAGTTCACTCTTTTCACATGGTCCTGGTCAACCAGGAAACTCATCTCTTGGCTTTGGAAGTAGCAGCTCCTTGGGAGCTGCCATTGGGTCTGCACTTGGTGGATTTGGCTCAACCGGTAAGTTGTTACTTTTAAAGAAAGAAAACGGGGAAGATTCTGTATGGTTTGATGTGATTCAAATAATTTTTCTTTAAATTATTTGAATGTACCGAATTTCTATCTCTGGATTTGAAAGAAAGTCAGTTGGACCAAGCAGATCTTGTATATGAGGAACAACTTGCATTATTGACTATGAAAGGTAACTTGTATTTTTAGGGCTTTTTAAATAGCCCAATCTTCTGCTCCCGTGATTTTATATTCAAGCTTGTGTGTTAAAAGGGTTACTTTTGTCACAGAGGTGGGCAAGAAATATCCTTTTGCTTTCCTTCCACCTCTTTCCAGCTGGGTCAATTATCAGGAGGACTGTTGCTGGAAGTGAACAATAGTTTCCTTTCTCAGTGTTACAAGGATGCTCTCAAGAACACCTGGAGAAATATGTTGAGCATTCTTCACTTTTTAAGCCAGACATCTCACAGTATGAGAGAGTAGAAGCATATAGCTTCCATTTCCTGCTTGAAGACATTTTGCTTCTTTAAGGAAGCAAGAGATGTTCTTTTGCAATTTTCTTGAAATTCATGTAGCATTTGTCTTTCAAACATCTTGCAGTAGGTAGACTTTGTTTTTTTAATTGTTTCAGTTCAGAAATGCCAAATGTTGTCATTTTCTATAATGTCTATTGTATAATCTTTACTACTTTATTCACAGTGTGATGGTACATAGTCCCCCCCCCCTTTAAAATTCATAAAGTTCTTAGATTGTGCAAACTGTTTTCTCACTGGAGAACATGTCTACATGTACTGATGCAGATAATGTATGAATTGTTTATTTTGCATAGGCAAAGGCATGAAGAAGCACACACAATTTTGTGCACTGTATAAAAGTGAGCTTGCACACCTCGATCTTGGAAAATGTCCCATGTGAAACAATTTTTTAAATATTTAGAGGACTTATTAAAGCTCTTTATATTGACTGTTATAAGCAATTCCCCATCACTTTTTTGTCTTGTAGAATTTGTATTTTGGTTGATGTCCACTGAAATTAATAAATAGAAAGAAAACACTATAAAAAGAAAGAATCTAATAAATGCATAGTCATTCATTACATGTTTTAATTGAAAGTTATTAATGGCAAAATCAAGGATGAAGTTTCTGTGATTTTTTTTTACTTAAAGAGAATAATATCCTTAAAATAATTTTAAACTGTAGTCTTATTTGCAGTTTTCCTGCATTTCTATGAATAATTAATACTTATGAGTATTCTTGAATATTCTACTCAAACAAATAAGTTTATTCAAATCCATAATTAGTTTCTTTAAAAACTGTATAAGACATAGTCCAATCACTCATTTTTTCCTTCATTGCATTTAAAATAGAATAGAGTTATTCTGAACTAATCTCAAGGTGTAAATTTCTGAAATACTTTTTAAAAAAAGAATAACTTTGCTTTCTACTCTTAGAACGATTCTCTGAAGTAGATCAAATTAAGTGATTTGTCAGTCATCTACTGAGCTTGACAGCTGAATCAGGATTCTAAAATATCAATCCATATTTCATTTTAATTTTGGAAGAACAATTCATCCACCCCATATTTTAGTGCTCAGTAAATTAATTGGCTCACTATGCTATCTTAATCTTTAGAAATCACTGTAGTTTCTTTTTTCTGTATTAGACTGAAATTAAAAAATTCTAAATAAAATATACATTTGCTAAAATAGGGATGCAAAATTGTTATAATGGCTAAACAGCTCAATGTTCATAATAAATTTCAAGATTTACATTGATTAAATTGCTCAGGCAAAGCATTCTATAAGATCAGTATATAAGTATAACAATTATTAATTTAAATTCCTAAACCATACTTTTATGAACACATTCAGTTTTGTTATTTATATTTGTTCACCCATCCCTATATTCTCTGTCTGTGATCCAAATCATTTTAAGACTTGCCTTCAAAGTATCTTAGACTTTTTTTTTTATTGAATTCCTTTATTTGTTGTTAACCAAGAATGTGTGGCCAACAAATCTATTTCTGAAGAGTGCAGAATCTAAGGGTAATTTTAGTAAGAGCTGTAAAACAGGATGAAGAAATTTATTACTTAGGCTATCTCTATATAAAAACTTCTGTTGCATGCCTAGAATATGACTTGAGTAGTTTTCCCTCAAACTAGTCTTTAAATTGAAAAGAAAAATTGCAGACATTTGCGGAAATTATTTGCATTTAAGATTCAACTTCATTGGTTTGTATTAACACACACTAAGACATGCCTAACTATTGGTCCCAAAGTCTGACTCCAGAATGCCAAATACTATGACAATGTGACTAAGTCTTGAGTGAATCAAGACTTGGAGGTTGCTCAAAACTCTCCCATATCTGAGGAATGCTTGTATTCATTTGTGATTTATTAAATCATGTGTGGTTAATCATAGTAATTGTCTCTAGCATAACTTGATTGTTATAACGAATATGATCATATCTTGTATTGCCCAGCTGTAGGTTGGGGCTAGGTTTTCTTTGGTTGACACTGTATGTAATAGGGTCTTTTTATTTCTTCTTCAGTTGGCAGTTCTGCAAGTAGTAGTGCCACAAGGAGAGAGTCTCTATCTACTAGTTCTGACTTGTACAAAAGATCTAGTAGCAGCCTAGCACCCATAGGGCAGCCATTTTACAATAGTCTGGGATTTTCCTCCTCTCCAAGCCCAATAGGCATGCCTCTGCCAAGCCAAACTCCAGGACATTCACTTACGCCACCGCCATCACTTTCATCACATGGATCCTCATCCAGTTTGCATTTAGGTAAAAACAACAAAGCCCTTTTTTGTTTGTATATGTTTGTGTGTATATGTATTTTTATATGTATATCAATATTTTATGTTGGGTAAAGATGTCAATCTGCTTTTTTGGTAAAACACTGTATAGGGGGCCTAGTCCCAGTATGTTGCTAACTGATTGGTCATTGAGAGTGATCAGCTTTGGGAGCAAAGTGTTGGCCCTACAGATTTGCCACATAAAAATGAAATCCTGATACTTAGAAAAATAAGAGTGGGTTGTTGTGTTGTTGTTGTTGTATGACAGGCAAAGATATATTTTTATCTATAACTATAAATCATGCATCTTTTTTTAATGGAGTCAGCTTTAGGCTAATGTTTGGTACATGATAATGATACAAGTTTTGCATGTGGGCTTAAAAAAACAAAGCTTGGCAAAGTATACAGTAAAGAAAACGGCTTTTAAATCAACAGAGTAATGAATTCACAGTACATTTTACAAATTCACTTTCAAAACAAATAAAAGTAATAATGAAAGGCTTTAGGAAAATAGTGGCATTCAATCTGTATGTAATGTGTCCTTTCCATACACCTGTAGTAATTTCATGCTTGAACCTGTAAGGATATATATTGGCATGGTTTTTATCTAGATGATACTGTTGACTAATATATGTTAAAATTACATTCTGTGGCATGCTTTGCAGTATGTAGTCATATAATTCCCTATTATTAATTATGTATTTAGTGTAAATTGTGAATAAATCACTTTATATGCTTTATTGGATAGGCATTTTGTAGTGAAAGATCTCTCACTATAAATGAGATTTCAAATTTGGATATTAAAATGTTTCAAAATTCACATATCATATAACATTCTTTAAACTAAATCTGCTCAATTATGGCACATTGTCCAAATAAATACTCTTTAGTTCAAGTGCATGCCTACAGTGTAGAAAAAAAATGGACTTAATAATGTTCCAATAACAAAATGGAATAGGTAGAAGATGAAGTTGTACTTATAAATGATCATGCATACAGACTTATTCCAATTAAAATGAAAAGTGTTCTTGAAAATTTCTTTGCAAGTCTCCAAGTTTTCTTGGAATCCTAAGGCAGATTGGATATTGTTGCTCACAACGAGAAACAACTAAGGGCCCTTTGTACACTGCTGCTTAGATTTGATCTATACAACATTGACTGTTCTATATTTTACTTTTTCACCTATCCCTAGTTGTTCTGTAATACCATTCTCATATCAAATAATGCAACCTTTCTCACTGCCACTTTGACCCTATGCCCTCTAGCAGGCTGTTCCTAAAAATATGGACTTTCAGAGCAAGAAGAAAATAATTTTGATACACATCTTTCCTATGACTTTTATGCACATGGATCTTTGGATTTTATCCAGAATTGAACATTATATGAAGTATATATATTGATCCTAAGATCAGTCATTACTTCAAGATAAATGACATCTCATCAGAATTAATATACCCCTAGCTTCAAAAATAAATAGCCAATTTCACTTATCTGATATATAAATGATATATAAATTTTTCAACAAATGTTCGGATATACCTTTTGTGAATTAGCTATTACTTTTTGCACATAATTGGTACAAACATTTTAGCCTTGCTTATTTCCGTGCTGGACTTAGAACATCCACTGGATTCTGGTGTTCCAGTAACAGTTTTAACTTGGTTCTCAGCCATATAGGCAGAAACTTTCCAATTACTTTATTGCAAACAATTTTAATTCATTTAAAATGGCAATAGAATCATTTACTCACTATGTCTGCTAAAGGATTTTGTGTTTGATCACCATTATAAAAAACACAGAGTAAACATCATTTAAATGCAAAAGCCTGATTCTGTGTAAACTTTGAAAAATAGCTGACTTTTAAAATAAATGCATATTGCAAATGTTGGCTAGCCATCAACTGATGTTATTCTATATTCATATAGTTCTAAAATCAGCTTCTTGAAACAGTTTAGATAAAGTACACATTCTGAAAAATATTTTTAAGATTTCCCACAAGAATTCTATGTGTTTATCTATTTAAATTAAATTAAACTCTATGTGCCACATATTTACTAGGTGATACATTGTAAATCAAAAATATTTTAATATTTGATTTAAACATTTTAAAACATTTGCCATATTAAAATACATAGCATATTTAAAATTAGTACACATTTTATTTATAGTTTGCGGAAAGCAAACATTCAAATCCTTAAAAGTTCAGAAGTATGTTTTTATTGAAAACAAATCTTTATTAAATGTCTAGATTGCAAGATAGCTCCATCATCTTTTCTCTTTCTCCAGCAAAAGCAAACTCCTTAGCAGAATTCTGATCATGATGCTCTTCTAATAGAAAAAAACCTCCCTCCCTCTATATCTATATTGCCATGCTAGAGCAAGAAGAAAATAATTTTGATACGCAACCTTCCTATGTCTGCAGTCCTACAGAATACATCTTTGCATGGAAAGAGATTTGCAATAGGAAGGGAAACTATTATAGCAGCTGCATGAATCATAGCCAAGAATGTTGCTTCTTTAACACTTTAAAAAGAGATGCCTTGCTCGTGCTTCTGAATGCTTTGTACACCTCTAAAAACTAATATATCCTGGGCCAAAGGCTTCAGGTCAGCCTCAGAAATTCTGTAGTAGTAAAAGAGAGGAGTTTCAATAGTGGATTTTTCTTGTGAGCATTGGAAGTCTCCCTTGATATCTGAGTGGCAGAATCACATGTTCTAGGGCTCATAGCATTGTTGCTAGGTAACTCTTAATTTCCAAATAGGTTAAAGACAAAGATCATTATCTGTTAACTTTTTGTAATTATTGTCAGATGAAAAAGTAGGGAGAAATTTCCTGCCATGAGTGCTCTTTCCACAGAAAGAGGTTTTTAGCTATGTATTTCTATAATTTTCCTTTTGCTAGACCAGGCATGTCAAACTGCCGGCCAACGGGCCAGATGTGTCAGGCTGAAACCGTGCCCACCCCATTGCCGGCAATGGGGAAAAGGCCGCGATACATCATGCAACGTCACATGATGTCGTGAATTTGACATGCCTGTGCTAGACAGAATAAGCTAATAGCAATAGCACTTAGACTTATAAAATGTTAGCTGTTGCTGGGGTGGGGGAGTGGGGGTTTATTTCATTTTTCTTATTTCTTATAGGGTATTTTTTGTTGATGTAAGCCACCTTGAGTCGCCATGTGCGAGTAGGCAGTGATTCAAATTTTCTAAATTAAATTACATTAAAAAGTGCTCCATAATGCTTTACAGCCCTCTCTAAGCATCATCATATTGCCCCCAACAATCTGGGTCTTCATTTTACAGACCTTGGAAGGATGGAAAGCTGAGTCAATCTTGAGAATTGAACTCCAGACTGTGCGCAGAGTTAGCCTGCAGTACTGCATTCTGACCACTGTGCCACCATGGCTCCTAAAGCTTTAATCTGATTAAAAGTATCTCAGAATAAAATTCATTTCTTTTCATGGTGTATTAATCTTTATTCTACCTGTTTAAATTAATTGTTATTGCAGCATTTTTGCTCACTCCCTGCTTCTTTGCCTTTTCTTGCTCCATTTCCACCTAGACCAATAAGCTGTTGCCACCTCTGCTAATGTTATGCCTCCCATTGTTCTATCATGGTCTTTCCATGTGTTACAGAGTTTTAATTCTTCTCATAAACTTATCTGTTTATTTGTGTAATTATGAAGATGATGATAAAATGGATTTATTCATGGCTTATTTTATAGAAAGTCTTAAGTCTGAAATTGTAAAAAATAAAATGAAAGTAAACTTGTATCTATTCTATACTTATTAAAAACTGCCAAATATTAATAGAAAAAATTGTTTCCAGGGACAATTTTCCGAATAAGTTTAGTAAGATATTTTTAATAACATTAATTATCATGTGCTAGATGCATATCCGGTCACATGGCATATGTTTTTAGTAACCTTGGTTAACTCTGGTATAAGATTTTATAATTGCATACATTTTATAAAAAATTACAAATATCTAGTTCATGACTTTTTGCTTAAAAACAAAGCAAATTGTGTGCAAGGTAGTCCTGATTTGTTTATTTTGCCTTGATTGTGTGCGCTGTTTATATCATTAAATCCATAAGAATTTCATTCCCATAAAAATCTATTACTGCAGATGCAGATAGGTATCTGAAGTATTGCAAATGTTAAATAATGCTTTACTCTATATACTAAATGAACTTTGCTGTCACCTTTGGACTTTACATTGTGAATGTAATGCACTTGGACAAGATTTCAACTAGTAATCTTCCTATGCGTGTATTAATAACCTTATGCACATAATACATTTCCTCTCTATTATCTCCAGAACAAGAAAGTATTAGTTTTGTTTGTCAGTACAAACAAACAAGGAGCACAAACAATCTTTGGAATCTAGTTTTAGACACAAAGCTATTTCTATATTCTTCCTTTTCAAATAACTAATGCAAAGGCAGATTTTTTAAAATTCATCAGATAGACATTACTGTCATGTTTCTTAAAAAAAAACAGCACCTATAAAAGATAAGTGGGTAGTTTGACTAGTTTGAATAGTTTAAGTGAAGTCTAGTTGGGCAGATTCAGGAAAAACATCAGTACATAGAATTTTCTGAGAGAATAGGTGCTTCTAAAGACATCTTTGTGGATTTGGAGTTTCCCCTGCAATTATGTGGGATATGGTACAGAGGAAAAAGAAGGAACAATTTTGAGCTCCTCTCTTGGTGCAAGTAGAAGGGTCTTCTATTCATCCGGGAGATTCTTCCTATCCCATTGTTTGAAACTAGAGTTTTAGGTTGTAAGTTATTAAATGCTAATGTAACCTTTGGTTTATAGGGATTTAACTTTGTAAATATATTTAATCTTTAGTTTTGAATTTGTTTTCTGTAGCAAAATAGTTTTTATAAGACAATAAATATAATACATTTCATGATGGAAATGGCTAGTGCATCACAAATCAGTACTCCAAATTTTACAAAACACTTGAGTTGTTTCAACTGCATTACTATAGGAGTGATCTCTAAACTCCTAATATCATGATGTTTTGGTGCTGCATTCAATTAGATAAAATTAACTCCTCCTCTCTTTTTCTGAATTGCCTAACCTCTCTCCAAAAAAATTTTCTTGTCAGCTTGCCTGTATTGAATTTTCAGAAGTTTTCAATAGCTGTGCCATTTCCCATGCTATTGACTTTTTTAAAAGCAGGATGTAAAGAAGTTAACTTCTACTAATTTTATGTTACATACATGTTAGCAATAACAATAGCACTTAGACTTATATACCACTTCAGAGTGCTTTATAGCCCTCTCTAAGCCATTTACAGAATCACCATATTGCCCCCAACAATCTGGGTCCTCACTTTACCGACCTCGGAAGGATGGAAGGCTGATTCAACTTTGAGCTGGTGAGAATCGAACTGCCAAACTGCTGGTAACCAGCAGTCAGCAGAAGTAGCCTGCAGTACTGCATTTTAACCACTGCGCCACCACGGCTTAGTATGTTCCTCTTGGTATGGCTATTTTTTTAAAAAAACAAATTAGAACAAAAGGTTAAACAAGCAGAAAATGTATTGAGCAACTGATTTCTTCCTCCCAAATACTGAATGATTCTTGTGAGCCATCATCATGAATACATAGGAAGACATCTTTCAGTACTTACAGAGAAGTTTGTTAGAAGGATGAGAATCTTTTGTTTGTATGACTCATGCAGTCCCATCTATCTTAAACAGAGATTTGTTAGAAATATAAACATTTATCACTTTTCATGGACAATTAGACAACCAATCCAAATTACTTAGAATTATATATTTTTAGTATTACACAATAGATTTTTCTCCCATGCACAGTTTTTTTAATAGTTACATCAAAATGTGCCCATTCCCCTGAATTCCAGATAAATAAGAAACTTTCTGTACTTCCACATCTGATCTGTTAATTTACATGATTGCTGCCATGGTGATTCAGTTGGAAGATGTTTGTCATAGATTTTAAATATGCATTGAATTAGCATGTTTTGAATGCTGGCTACACATAGATGAAAACATCTTGTTTGCCAGTATTTCAAATTTAATCAATAACAATTATTTGATTTGAGGACATGATTGAATATATGTAACTCGGATTGAACTGTGAAGTCCTTGGTGGTCTTTGAGCTTGGCTATTTGCTTACAGACATTTTATTGCCCAACTAGGTAATATCATCAATGCGAATGAGTGTGGGGTGATAAAAGAATTTACCCTCCCACCAAAACTGGCAGAGCACACTACTGTATATAAACTGGGAGTAATCCTCTCCCCATTTACTTGCACTGATGATGTTACCTAGTTGGGTAATGAAATCTCTGCAAGCAAGTATCCAAATTCAGATATCACCAAAGACCCCACAGTTGTACCTGTTATTATTTATTGAAATGCTTTATTTACCTTTGCTCTTTTATGTATATTTTATGTCAACTGCCTGGAGCATGTTGGTAAAAAGAATAATTTTAATGGATTGTTTAGGAAGTAGCATGGAGGGGTGTTTGAGATGTTATTTTGATCTAAATGATAATAATAAAGTAGATAAAAGCAGGATTTAGTTTGAGCAGGTTTTGGAGTTATGATAAAAAGCATTTATATGTTTGTGTGTGTGTTTTAGAATTTTCCAAATCTGTAACTTAGCCAATATATTAATGCTAATTCCTTAGAAAGGAGTAAAACGTATTGTCAGGAGAAGAGAATTGGTTATTTAATGTGAGAAGTTATTCAGTTATTTAGACCATGTGAGAAGATTTAAACACAGTAATTTAATTAATATACATACAACTTGATCAGTAATTAAAATTATATATCCTTTTATGGAAAACAACATTAATATCCAGAAGCTTGTTGCTGATTTTGTTATATATTGGAGTTATTTTTTCAGAGTTGCTTCAGTTGTTGCTTTTTAGACTTCAACTTTCAAATTATAATACTTAGGATAAAAAGTCTTTTGTTCCTTTCTTCTTAAGTAACATCTGGTTACTAGAAGTTAAGAAAAAGTGAAGAGAAATTAATTCTAGCTTTTCTTAGTTTGAGTACAATTAAAGTAAAGCATACTTAAAACGTCTTACTAACCAAACTGCTTCATTATAGGGGGATTGACCAATGGTAGTGGTCGCTATATTTCAGCAGCTCCTGGAGCAGAAGCCAAGTATCGCAGTGCTACAAATACCTCCAGTCTTTTCAGCTCAAGCAGCCAGTTATTTCCTCCCTCACGACTACGTTACAGTAGGTCTGACATTATGCCCTCTGGGCGGAGTAGGTTATTGGAGGATTTCAGAAATAATCGCTTTCCTAACCTTCAGCTAAGAGACCTTGTTGGCCATATTGTTGAATTTTCACGGGACCAACATGGTTCTAGGTAAGCATATATAGCTCTCCTGAATAAATAGGAGAATATATGTTTCTTTTAGTAATGTCTTTGGGAAATATATTGAATGTTGCATATATTAATATTTAATATTCAATATGTGATTAATAATTTTTATTCAACATTTATTAACTCTAAGTGTACCCAGAGACCTAAATTTGGGGATTCGGTTGGCATTCATTATAAGATGGGTTTCACAATGTGAGGTCAAATTTTGTTTTCAAAGTGAATCAGAGCACACTTAAATTAATGGTACCTCACTGAAGTTAGATTGACGTTGTAAACAGTAAAGCTGTACGTAACTTTGCTCCAACACAATCTAAAGATAGCTTTTATTTTACTATTTCCCATATTTGATTCACAAAATAATTGAAATAGAATTTTGAATATGTATATGGAATTCAGTTTCTTGTTGGCTTCATTGATTAGAATATTTGTTACGCTTATTTATATTGGCATGTACATTTCTGACATTTACAGATTTATACAACAGAAATTAGAGAGAGCTACTCCGGCTGAGCGCCAAATGTTGTTTAGTGAAATTCTGCAAGCAGCGTATCAGCTGATGACAGATGTGTTTGGAAACTATGTAATACAGAAATTCTTTGAGGTAAATATGTTAAGAATATTGTTTAAAATTTTAATCATGAACATATTGAAATAGAAGATTATTCGTGAATAGAAAACTTAACAAATCTTAGACATAGAATTACTTTAACAAGCAATGAAAATAAAAGTTAAATATGCACATTTTTGCCTGTCTTGCATAAATAGAACAGAGCTCAGTAAAGAAGCAGCAGTAATGGTTAACCAGTACACAAGCCATAAACAATGCAACATTAAAAATAGATTTTTCTGGCTGTTGGCTTGAGGCTTTCTAATACATATGCATAACGTATAATTTTTGTATTTGACATCTTGAAACCTGAACAGGATAGTAACTCTTTATCTATAATCCACATGGACAACGGACAACTTTATTGATTAAAAAGTAAACATAACATATAAAATATATAGAAGTAGCAGTATTATAATTCAGGAGCTCTTAACTTCTCCATAGCACAAAACTGACAAATATGGTCAGGTAGGCAAAAATGTTGTTTCTGAGTAGTTAGATATCAAATTTGATAACAGTGTTTTATAGTCTCAGAACCAGCATATTCTAATATTCACTGGTTGGTCGGTGGGGTTTAGCCATGTTTGTTAGGTACTGTGTGAGACTACTGGTTGTCAGAGGGTGAGAAAAAGGCTTAGTTCTTAACTACCTTCCAATGGCATGTTGGGAAGTTCAGTAGGAGGGAGACTGTTTTTCAGAAATAGTCCTGGCAACAGCCTAATCTCCTGACTTCTGCACGGGCCACATTTAGAACTTTATTGTTTATGATATTTTTCTTCATTTGAGTACTCTATTACATAGCTACTTCAATGAGTAGATTACATTAGTAGCCTTCTTCAGAATCCAACTGAAGTTCAAAGAAATTGATATGAGCAGAATCTGTATTAATTTAGATGAATTGGCAGATAAATGTTAAGATGAATTTTTATTATAGTTCATTAGGAAAACCTGCCTCTGTCTGGCCATTTTGTATACCCCCATCTCAGGCAGTCATTTAAACAAGGTAGGCAGACTTCTATTACATGTGCACAGAAAGCAGGAATCTGAATACTGATTTCAGTCTTCCTCTCGTCTCTTTTTTTTAACAGCAATATAACTACTTTGTAATTTCACTGTACCCCATAAGTTTCCAAATGATAATACCAACTTCTACAGGGTAACTTTGGAAGTGGCCATTTTTAGATCAGGACTTTTTGCTAAGTGAGAAAAAAAAAAAATGTTGCCCTTTCCATTGGTGACCTGAACCCTTGATTTATCTGACTACAGCCATGATCCACTGCATTTCATTTGCCACATGGGAGAAATTCATCACCTTGATGCAGTTTCTACGCTATATTCTGACAATCTAATTTAATTCCTCCTAAATAAACAAGCAGGAATGGGGTGTGGATTAGAGATATAGATATGTAAATAGATGTAAATTAGAAGGAGGTTCCCTATCTTTCCCCTTCTGAACTGTCCCCTGTACTGCTCATAAGTAAACATTACTAACTATAAGGAATAGAGTGGGAAGGGAATAATAACCTGTGCAAGTAACCATTCTTCACCAATTAATTTCTATGTTTGTATCTTTGATTGCCAACTCCTTGTCTCTATGAGACACAAATCACAAATAGATATTGCTATTTAACATGTGCTCAACTGTCTGTTTCTCAGTCTTTTTTCTTTCTTCCTTCATCAGCTCCAGTCAATAGCAGCAGCCTGCTGCTTGTTGACTAAAGCAGTCTCCAGATTTCCTTAGCTTAGAGCACAGGTGTCAAACTTGCGACGTCACGTGACGTGTCATGACATCACGATTTTTTCCCCATTGGTGGCAATGGGATGGGCGCAGTTTTAGCGTGATGCATCTGGCCTGCGGGCCAGCAGTTTGACACCCCTGGCTTAGAGGATTTTTTAAGTTAATCATTAATGTTAGAATAGTTAAAGATGTGGTACAAAACCAGTTTTTGTCTCAAACTGAAAGCAAAGTTCTAGATTCAAAAACACTCCATAGTTGTTCCAAGCTTTTGCACATCCTTGATTTGAAGCACTTACTTTCTGGGTCTCAATTTTTAGAGTAGTTCCTAGATTAATATTAAAAAAATAACATCTTATACCTCTAAACCCAAGGGCTCTTAACTTCCGATCCATGGAACCCTTGGGAAATATTTCTCCAGATTTTGAATGGTGTGGATGATACAAAAAGATTAAGATCCCCTGTTCTTACCTAAGGCAACAATTACAGGCCATTCTAGCTTTCAATTGTGTTTCTTGCTTATAGAAACCTTCCTCTGTTATTCTGTAAACAGCAAACTGAAATCTCCCTTTCATCACTTCCATAGGATTTGAAAATCCTAGAAGAAAGGGAACAATTTCCCCATCCTAATCAACATCATCCTGAAAGCATCAATTGTATATATCTTACAATTTTGAAAAATTAGACTTATTTAAATTTGAGAGGATCAGTATTATTTATATTATATGTGAGATCCAAAGGATTTATTTCACTTGTTCTATATTAGAAAGACATTCCCTCTAATAATTTAAAATTCATAAAAATTAAGTTGCATCACTGCTTACCCAAGTCATATGTTGTATGCTACAATACTTAGCATCTTCCTCCTTTGGTCATACTTCCTGGTCCTGCTGAGAGTTGTAGTTCTATTACAACAACTTATATAGATGAAAACTGAATTTGGAGTTCCTTCACTAGATGACTTATTTCTGAGATTGCAAATTACATGTGCAGTTAATTCTCAGGTGATGAAATAAAAATCCTTGGGAAGAGACATAAGGGAGACCCTAGAAATAACAAATGATAAAGTGGCTAACAATGCAGATGCTGTTCATAAAGTTTTTAAACTTGTAATTTTCTGCAGATGAACATGTAAAATTTAAATTTTTTTAAACAGTGCTTTCACTTTCATTGTAGTTTGGAAGCATTGACCAGAAGCTAGCACTTGCAACGCGCATTCGTGGACATGTTCTCCCATTAGCTTTACAGATGTATGGGTGTCGAGTCATTCAGAAAGCTTTAGAGTCTATTTCACCTGACCAGCAGGTAATTGTAAGTTAGATCAATATTTTTGTATTTATATTTATAATCAAAATATAACCCCTTTTGATTAGGTCTGAAAGATACTTATAACTTATTAGATTATAATAATAATCTAATTTTTAGTTTAAGAATACTCTGAATTCTGGTGACTTTATATAGGTTAATTGGTTGATAGGTTGAATCCAGCAATGTGGATTGTTATTGCTTTCTTCTGAGTTATTGTTTTGACTTCTCAGTCTAGTCTTCAGCTCTGGGTTTTTCTGGTGGCCTCTCATCTGAATGCTAACCAGGACTAACCTATTTCACATTTTGATACCAGCAAACTTTAGCTAACTGCCACTGTGTTTCCCCGAAAGTAAGACCTACCCCGAAAATAAGCCCTAGCTTGATTTTTGGGGGTGGATCTAATATAAGCTCTACCCCCAAAATAAGCCCTAGTTTTGGGGGGGCGCACACCTAAAAATCAAGCTAGGACAGGGGGTGGAGCTGCCCCATGCGCCCCACACCCACTTACCAGGCCTCCCATGAATCGACACCTGCCTCTCCTTGCTGGCCCACTTCTTCTGCGGCATCCTCCGGCCAGCATTTTGCAGTCAGAGGCCTTTCTGGAAGGAATCTTCAGCTGAGAACCGAGATATGGATTCAATCTGTAGCTCAGTTCTCAGCTGCAGAGGTCCTTCCTGAAAGCCTCTGACGGTGAAATGCAGGCCGGAGCTCCATTCTCAGCTGCAGAATGAAGCTACTCCTTCGGCTGCAGAACAAGTGGGCTGGCTGGGCGGGGCTGCTGGTGACACTACTGTGAGGTGAGTGGAAAAGACACCCCCTGAAAATAAGACTGGTGCCTCTTTTGGAGGCAAAAAAAAAAAAAAAAAAAAGACCGGGGGAAACACGGTACTACATATCTAGACAATTATTATTTTTTTAATTTATATCTAGACAATTATTTATAGAGGTATTTTGTGTGAGGGACATCAATTAAGGACATGTATAACTTGATCTCTACTGTTATTTCCCTGTAGAATGAAATGGTAAAGGAACTAGATGGTCATGTACTAAAATGTGTTAAGGATCAAAACGGAAATCATGTGGTACAAAAATGTATAGAATGTGTTCAGCCACAATCACTCCAATTTATTATTGATGCTTTCAAAGGACAGGTAATTTTTCATTTATTATTTTGTGAATGAAGAATGACTTCCATAATTTATATTTAGGCAAATGATAACTGCAAGCATACAACTTCAGCTTTGGACTTGTATTTTACAGTATAGCCTTTTATTCCAGAAGAGATTTTTACTTGGTGCCTGTATTGTAATTCTTCCTGAATATACAGAAAGTAGTTTAGCGTTGTTTAGTTTATTTAATTTACAGTTATAGATATTTATGAAATACAAATTTCAAAACTTTCACCATTCCCGTTGCTTTTGACTTATCACTCAAAGATTTTTCTAGGAGCTGCCATGATCCATTTGATGCTTTAGCTTTATATGTACTACTGCAATATGCAGAACTTCCTATTAGGGCTGGGGGGTGAAATGTTCCATTCTTGGATTGAGTAGATTTTTAATTACTATTTGTGTGGGTGCATATAACAATATCTACCTTTTTAGCATGTTGTTTTATTAAGGTGAACTGTAAAATAACTATCCAAAATGCATTGGAGAATAAAGACAGTTATTCAGAGTAGTCACTCTTATTTTCTTCTTGAAATGAAATAGACTACCTCAGATATTATTACCGTAAATACATTCCCTGGGAGCTGTAAAATTAAAATATTCCCATAATCTGACATAAATAAGGATGGGGATCATTCTAAAGGTTTCACACAGGTATGAGATATTATATTCTTATAAACAAAATCTTGTTATTTTAAGGTTTTTGTGCTTTCAACTCACCCTTATGGCTGCAGAGTAATTCAACGTATTCTTGAGCATTGTACTGCCGAACAGACCTTGCCCATTTTGGAAGAATTGCATCAACACACAGAACAGCTTGTGCAGGTTGGTGTGTACTAAAATGCCAAGATGAACATAAACCATTCAAAATCATTACAAGTAGATACTATTGGAGAAAATGAAGATTGAATTAAATTGGGTATAATTTAATTATACTAATTATATATTATATTATTTAATCAGGCAGGATTGTGAATGTAGGCATATAGCTAGAATGTGATCAGAGCTAAAACTAAGTTTCTAAGCCAAACAAAAATATGCTGTATTGTTATTTCATGATTAGTCTGTGGAGACCACTAGGAAACAAAGGCAATGTGCAGCCCACAAAATAAAACTTGTATTTAATCTCTTGGTTTGTAAGTCACAGGGTCTCAGTGGCTCAAAGTAAGCCATACGCAACGTTTCCTGGACCAGAATTCTTGACCACAGTACTCTACCCTCTAATAACCTCCAAGTTAGACTGCCACAGTAAGCTTTATGTGGGCCTTTAAAAACACACAAAAGCAGCAGCTGGGGCAAAAAAAAAAAAAAAAATTCAGACCATTTTGTACTGATCTTGAATGAATTGTACTCTTACAATCTCTTACTGATTGTATTACATTTAAGGCCCTGTTTGTTAATTAATACTTGAAGAAGCATTTTCCTAGTATGCACCTGACCAAACATTAAGATTTGCAAGGGGGAGGGGGCTCTCTTTACTGGTTCACAGCTGTAAAAGGTAATTAGTCTCCCTTATGGTACTCCAGCTTTAGAATGCCCTTTTTTTAAAGACCAAACAAATGCTAACATTTTTAATGTCAGGTGAAGACCTACCTTTTTATTGATTTATATGGGCCTTTGCTGCAACCTCCCCATGCCTTATTGCTCCATAATACTTAACGTCTGTCTACTAGGAATGTGCAGTTATTTGGATTCCAAGCAGAAAAGATGTTTTACAAGCTGGACATGTTTGCTGAATCTGTCAGTGCTTCCAGGGAACAATCCTAGGAGACACACACACACACACACACACACATATACATACATACATACATATATACATATATTTCAATGAAGAAAGCACTATCAGAACCTTCTTAAATATATATTTGGGAGAGGAGACCATGTGTGTAAATATAGGAAAAGAAACAGTTTTTTAAAGGAGGCATTGACAAGTGCAGGAAATACAATTCCACCAAAGGAGATTTCCCATTTTGGATCTGGATTAATTGCACATCCTTAATCTCTAAGTGGTTCCCATTTATGGTAGATGTGATTTGCCAGGGTGATTGCCTCTCTCCTGCATCTCCTCTAGGCCAAAGGAGAGCTAAAAGGAATGGCAAAAGATGCTACCTTTGAATTCCTCCCTCCATGTTTTATACCTGGGCTTCAGAAGAACAAAACCATCGTATGAAAGTGTTCCTTCTTCCTCCCCTCAAAAAGCAACAACCAGAACGCACTGTTCCAATCTGCCTTTTTCCAGCCTGGGCCCATGGACAAAATGAACAGGGCCAGGCAGCTTGTGTCCATAAAAGGGAGTCTGGTGGAGCTTTCCATGGGAGGAACTAGTTAAGACAGCAGGTTGTTCTTGCTGGGAAAGAATGGGAAAGAGCTTGTTTGGGGCTGTTGTTGGGGCAAAGAGTGATCTAAGAACAACTCTGACTGGCATAGCAATTGAAAGATGAAGGGGATGGAAAGAAAGCCTGTACCTTTTAACTGCTGACTCTAGTGGCAAATGGTGGAGAACTTTGACCAGACGTACATTATAGTAGTAGAAGAGGGATAAATGTTTTCCTCCCCAAACGATGTACCTTTTGTATCAATTTTTGAAACTGCTTTGGTATTGTAGTTCTTGAGCTAATGAAAAAAATCTTCATGTAACATCCAAGACAATTTGAGTTTTAGGCCCCACCCTGCTTATATAAAAATTAATCTTTAAAATAATTCAGAGGCAATATAATGGCACATTGCTTCTTTTTCAGCAAAAGTGACTGGAATATGTGAACTTGGAAGGCACAGAAAGTGGAGCAATTTGTATAATTGTGTAAATGGTGCCTCATGAGTAACCCATGCTTATTGATCTTGTCACTTAGCATATTACACAGATATGTCCAGTCCAATGAAATAGTGTGCCCTCTTTCTGTTTATTTTGGCTTATATTTGTCTTGGACATGGCCATTTGGCTCATATATCTTACATTTTTAATGCTGAAGCATTTTCCTGCGATGAATAATCACCTCTTTGACTTTAACATTTTAAAAACTAATGATAAGACTCTGTTAACTAATTTTAGGATCAGTATGGAAACTACGTGATACAGCATGTTCTGGAACATGGCCGCCCTGAAGACAAGAGTAAGATTGTTACTGAAATCAGAGGGAAAGTTCTGACTTTAAGTCAGCATAAATTTGCCAGGTATGGTAAATAACAAATTCCTAATTGCACTGGCCTTGGCTGGTTGAATATTTAAAAAAAGTGGTAGCTGAGTTAATCCTTGAAGAAAAAAATACATTTGAAGTTGATAATATTTGTATTAGGAACAGCCCTAAGCAAAATGGCACTCAAAGAAGTGCAAACCTTTATATTCTCCACACCTATTCTTCTGCTAGGAAGGTACCTTCCCCCCCCCCCCAAAAGCAAGAAGTGGAAAGAAGCCAAAAAATCCAAATGTTTAGCCAGATATTTTAATTGTAGGTTTAAAGTTAAAGTCAGCAACAAGATGGAGACTATGGGATAAATGCACAAATCAGTAAGTGTTGAAGTAAGATAATATATAAGAATGCTGGCTGATAGTGACATGATTGAAACCAGAAATGAAAACATAGGACAGCTGGTTCTGAGTTTTCCAAGTTAGTTTGTGTACAACAGTATAATACACATAAATGTATTTATAAATATAATGTGGAAGTAGAATTCTATTTGCATAATAGGAACGTGCCATCCTCCACTGCCTCCCCCACCAGTCTTCTATTCCCTGTTCCACCCAAAATCTGAACAAAATGTTCAGGAGCTACTCAGAGTACACTTTGTGGAAAAAGGGCCAAAGAGCTAAATTGTTGCAGGAGTTCTCAAGTATATTGTATATTAATGATGTATAGAATGCATCTGATTTTAACACCTTGGTTCCCTCACCTGCCCCACATTCTTGCAGATGTAGGGAAAAAAGAATGCAAATGGTTGGGAGGGGGGGACACAGAAGGCTAACAGTTTCCTGTAGAGATTAAGGCAACAGGCTAGAAACCAGGAGACTGTAAGTTCCAGTCTCACCTTAGGCATGAAAGCTGACAGGGTGACCTTGGGCTAGTCACACACACTCATCCCAGCTCACCTCACAGAGTTGTGGTTGTGGGGAAAATAGGAGGAGGAAGGTGTGTTGGATATGTTCACTGCCTTGAGTTTATGTGTAAAAGTGGGAAATAAATAAATGAAAAGGTTAAATATTTTAAAATTTTGATCAGGAAGTTTGTTCCCTATACAAGGATGTAGAGGAAATCTATTCATTTTGCTGAGGACAGTTCTTTTGCCATTAAAATACAAAAATGGTTCACAAGAGCTTTTGATCTCCATTCTGTAATCCAATAGATTCCAAATTTTCCTGATGAAGAGCAAGATTCTTATTTTTCAGATGAAAATGGGGTGGGAGGTATTATTTGTTTACTTTTGTGCAAGTAGAGAGGAATTCTCAAATTACTTGCATAGCAAAGAAACTGCAATATGCATTTCAGCATAGTTTTTGGATTTCAAATGGAACCTCAGCAGTTACTCAAGGAAAGGGTTAAAGGAAGCTCATATGAATTGCAGTTAGTACGAGGGCAGTAATTTTGTTGTGTCGAAATTGTTCAGGTGAAATTTATGTTTATTTCTATTGTTCAATCTCATAATTTTTACAGCAACGTGGTGGAAAAATGTGTGACTCATGCATCTCGTGCTGAAAGAGCTTTGCTTATTGATGAAGTATGTTGCCAGAATGATGGTCCTCACAGTGCCTTATACACCATGATGAAGGACCAATATGCAAATTACGTTGTTCAGAAGATGATTGACATGGCAGAACCTGCTCAGCGTAAGATTATAATGCATAAAGTAAGAATGAAATCTTTACATTGTTCTGCTTAAGAATTACTTCCAGCAGGAGATCAAGGAAAGACCAATTCCTCATTCCCTTTTCCATGTTATCACACAAATAGATTTGAAGGGAATACTGTATGTGTTGTCACAGGAGCTGGCTTTTTCCTGTGAATTTATTGAAAAAGTTTAAAACAGTCTTCACATAAAAATTAAATACTTTCCAATATTTGTAATTAGACGGATGCCATTATGTCTGCCACTCATCTCCTATAATGCCATTTTTAATTTCTCATTTTGTATAATTTAATATAGCCTATATTAGTTTTATGAACAATGAGATATTTTTTTTAATTTTTTATTTTAGTCTTTCAAATTTCTCTCTGAAGTCTTCTCTCTTTATATAAATGTTAACAGAAACTTTAATTACCAATAACATTCCTTATAAAATTTCAAATGTTACTTTATAGTGTTCAATTAAAAATTAAATGACGAAGAACAATTAACTGCTTTTTAAAAAACCTAAATTTTATCTTCACCAAATGTAATCTTGGCTTGAATCCATGCACACCCTTCTGCAGTCAAAAGTTATATCTTCTTGCACAAGGTGGTCTTTTTTAATCGCTCATTTTTTTGCCGGAGGCCTCTGAATCATCTCCTATCTCTTGTAATGACAGACAGGAAAGAAAAATAAGAAATTTGTATTCAACCAGTTTGTTCTACATTGGGTGCTAGGAATACTTGGTCCTGGAACTTGAGTACAGACCTTTTAGGGCTGAAATTTTGAGTGTTTGAGTGACATCCTTATAATTGTTATATTTTTAAAAATGTGAAAAATACTATTGTTGAAAATTTTAGAGCGCAGTCCTGGGTTCTACAAGAGAAAAGCAGGTTGCATGTAGCCCATTTGTTTCTTTTTTATTGAAAAATTTTTAAAAGTTTTTACAAAAAACAGAAAACAACAATACAACAACAAAAAAGAACAGGATTAAACAAAACAAAACAAACCTCCCCCAACCCTCCCCAAACCACCCACACCCTCCCCCCCCCCCCCGGAGCTTCCCAGAGCAGAATATAGGCTTAATTTAAAAAGTTAAAAAAATTATATAAAAAGAAGAAAAAAGAAAGATTAACAATAGAATATATATATATATATATAAAAATAAAAATTATAAAAAAGCTAAATAATATTTTTTATATCCAATTTAAATTGTATAAACTTTATCCATTTGTCCCAAATAGCAAAAAAATTCTCTTGCCCATTTGTTTCTTAACCTTCCTGTAGATCCAGTACACAAAGGGCTGCACAAAACTTTGATTCTCTGATTCAGTTCAATGTTACTTAATTGAATCTCTGGAATCAAATTCAAAAATCAGATTGGCTGCCAAATCAGTTCAGAAAATCAAACACCCAATTTCACACACTGAATTGTAAAATCAAGAATTGACTTGTTTTTTTTTAATCAGTTTGAATCAGATTAGAACTAATATACACACCTCTACTGTTTAACTGCTAGCTAAATGAACATTATCAAATCTTTAACCTAAAACACCTCAGTTTAATAATAAAATAAATAAATGACTATCCCATGTTATGGAAAGTATCATTAACTTTGGGGTAGCATGGTTCATTTGTGGATAAAAATAATTGCCATTCTTTACTGTAAATCTGTTCTTGAATTCAGCGTTTTAAGTTCATAACTTTTGTCTGTCTGCACAGACATTATTTCTTTTGTCAGATATATTATCATACACATAAAATATGGTATTTCTGTTCGACTGTGTTCTAGTTTACAACTTCCTATCTGTTAATATAACATATTGCCATTGGGCTCTCCCTGTGATCCAGAAAAGCTTGGTCAGTTTTATTGTTTCTTCACTTCTATATTTTACATGCAATATCCCTGCTTGAGCATATTGAACCTGTTCCCATCCAACCCAGAAATAGGAGAAAACTCTAGTTAATAGGCATTACAATGCCTATTGCATTTGTATGCACACTGATTATAGCACTTTTACTCACAGTTGGTTCTTAATAGGGGTCTTAACATTGTTCACAAATATTCACGGTCACAAATATTAAGAAAAGATACCTTGAACATTTAGTGAAAGATATGTTATATTTGTCTTTATCCTTCTAACTTTACTCTGCAAAATGACAATTTTGATGATGGGAGTGTTTAATGGTCCCAATTTCTTGCTTCCAGATTCGACCCCATATTACAACCTTGCGTAAATACACCTATGGGAAGCATATCCTTGCGAAGCTGGAAAAGTACTACCTGAAGAACAATGCTGATCTGGGGCCAGTTGGAGGACCACCAAATGGGATGCTTTGAAGATAGGTTTAAGGAGCAGTCTAAAAGATTATTTGTATTGTGAATTATCAAAACACCCAACTTAACTAAAATTTTGTGATTTTTTTAAAAAATATATTTATTGACTTCGTCCATTTGTAAAAATTTTATTCATGTGTATATTTTTGGGGAATGAATTACAACATATTGCCATTTCTTAACAGAGACCTATCAGATTGCAAGGCTTACAAAGCACAGAATGCCTGTAAATGATGTAACTATCAGAATAGCTCTCCCATTTTGTAAATTTTTACCTTGTAAAGTCACTGAATAAAATAGTTTTTAAAGGGAAAAAGTACAGTATTCTTTTAATATACTGGCTTACAGTCTGGTAGGTCTGTCCACCATCATTGCACAACATGTTTATATAATTGTATATAGAATTAGTTTTCATTTTTCCCCTTTGTGTGGAATCTTTTTTATAACAGTTGAAAATGAAGCAATTGCATAATTATTATTTAACATGATACAGAAAGTTAAGTTCTGTATTTTGGTGGTTCACAATTTTATAGTCCCAAAAGCAATCAGGGTACTGCAAATATCAGTAAAGAAGTTGTAAAATGTGAACACTGATGAGTAGTTTCCACCTTTTACTCTGGAAATGATTTTTTTTTTAAAAAAAAAAACAGTGCCCTTTTCTCTGGCTGTATATAATTTAATATTTAACTAATGGTGGAAGAATAGGGTATAAAATCAAGGTAGTACTTGGATCCAGCAGTGTACTGTCTGGGAAAAAGTGAATTCAATAAATAAATAGGCAGACAGTTGGTGTAAGATGTGTGTTTTGCTTTGCATATACAATTGTAAGACGGGATTTGAACATTGAGCATATGCTTGAAATAGTAGATGAAATTGTAGGCAATTAATGGAGGAAAGAGCCTACTTAAATTTGATAGCGCAACATCTAAAGCATGATTAAATATTCAGATAGATTTTTTGCTTCCTTATAAATATAAGCATTATATAAGTATAGTTAATAGATGTAAGTTTACTGTTTGTAAACAGATTCCTTGTTTTCAATGTTTTAAAAGCCTTGCTAATTAAGTAGTGATGCTTACTTTGGTTGTACAGATGTACATTTGTAAACCTTCATGCTGTAAATGTAATTTGTTTTACCCCTTTTGGGAAGAAAATTTGCATTTTAGTGTATATTCATATCCCTGCCCCTCTACCCCGACATAGTGTTGTATAATGTAAATTTATTTCGGCAAATCAAGACTGATTTTTTAAAAATTCTATCTTTATATAGTTTCAGAGATATGATTCAGCTTTCTTTGATCTGTTACAAAAATCTTTTGTTTATTACATAACTGTTCTGTTAATATGGACATTTTGGAAACTTAAATCAGTTTAAACATTAATAATAAAGATAATTAATGGACAGAAATACTGATGACAGAAACCAGTGCTTCTTCCATCTTAAATGTGGCACGATTTGTTTTTGTATAGAAGAATGCTGTATTTTTGAACAGCTTGTTTCATCCTAAAGCAAATATGTATGATACTGTCAATTTAAACAAAACACTGTAACAGTAAGATAAAGGTGTACATTTACAAGCGGCCTTATGTACATTTCCCAGTTTACTTTTTAAGGCAAGAATTGTGACTATATGTGTATAATTAAAATCCTTTTTAATCCTTTGCCTTTGAAGATATTTTGGAAAGACAGTTACTTTGTATATTCAGTTTCTGAAAGATAAAATGCGTTGTATTTTGTTCAAGCTGGCATTTTGTATAAGCGCTTCTTCATTTTTTGTGATATAATATAGGTGCTTTACCTCAGAATTGTTGGAGGGAGTGACAGTTAACAGCATATGCAAAAGTTTTGGGGTAGAGCAGGGCTTTTCAACCAGTGGTACGGGTACCACCTGTGATACATTGGCACCTGGCAGGTGGTACATGGCCATCCTAGAAAAGTGGTAGCGGGGGAGGGGAATGAGCTGAACCAGTGGCAGCACCGCACAAGCCTGAGTGAGAGATGGCTGGAGCTGCAGGACTGTCAGGGCTCAGCGGAAGCGCCAGGATCAGTGCCACTTGCCAGCTGATCGGCGCTTCTTCAGAGCTGTCAGTGCTCAGTGGAAGCCCTGGGATTAGCGCCAGGCTCCAGCTGGAGCTCTGCTGAGCCCTGAAGAAGCACCAATCAGCTGGAAAGCAGCACTGATCCCGGCACTTCTGCTGAGCCCAGAAGAAGTGCCGATCAGCTGGAATGTTGCAGCATCTCCAGGGTCTTGTGATTTACATTCAGATGCTTGGCAACTGATTCATATTTATGACGGTCACAGTGTCCCAGGGTCTTGTGAAGTGACCAAAACCTGCTGCAACCACCCAGCAGACGGGGGGAATAAAAACCAAACACCCTCCACCCCACCCCCGCTGCCAGTCCTCAACAGAAATGCTCACAACAATGGAAATCTCGGACAAGAGGAAGAGTGCCGCCAGGTAGGCAGGCAGGTGTCTTGCTCGGCTGTGGCTTGGGGGGCACTTTTTTCAGTGCCACTGTAACTTCGAACAGTCACTAAGCGAACTGTTCTAAGTCAAGGACTACCTGTACTTTATCACTTTTTTCCTTTTTTTTTTTTGGTCAAGTTTTTAGGCGACTGGTGGTACTTGGATGTTGCCATATCCGAAAAGTGGTACAATGGGTGAAAAGGTTGAAAAGCCCTGGGGTAGAGGTCCCAGGAAATGGAAGAGAACAGTGTATCCCATTTATGCACCTTCTTAATAGAAACATGCAAATACCTGCATACCATATAAAAATTAGTTTATTCCAGTGTTGATTTTTTTAAAAAATAATACCAACTTAAAAACATGAACTCTATGGTAATTTCTGTTCATAATAGCTTTCTCTCCATTTACATAATTATTAAATATGTAATAATTATATTTGCTATAGATCAGTTTTCTCCTAGAAGTTGTAACTTGATAGTATTCTGAAATTTCAGTGAAATTTATCTTCTCATCCAAAGAATATGAGTTGAAGGGTTGGAAGAGCATAGATCTTTTGTACTCTGCTATATGTTAGATACCCTAAATGTGTATAAAACTTAATTCAAATATATTTTACTGCTCCTCAATATATTGCAAGTCTATCCTATAACCTATTGGCTCGATGAACTGATATATTTATAATACAGTAAACACTTCTGCTAGCTGACTGAAATATATTTACACAGAAGTATGGAATAACAGGAATGATTTTCCTCAGCTAGTAGCTGGAAACAATCTTACATATGTTCAAAAATTCTCTATTCCCCCCTCCCCCATACACACACTCTTCTTTGATATGTCCTTTGATGTAGATTTGTTTAGGTCTGCTCAGCATCTAGGCCGCTATTAGTTCATATTGAATGATGTAATGTTCGTAATATGCTGTAAAGAAAAATGAAAATGTGTAAGTTTATGCAGTATGTTGGTCTTATGTTCTTCTTTCCAAAAGATCCACGGATTATATTTACTCTTTCTTTGGAAACTTAACTATATTAGGCTGAAATAAGGTGCATCAATTTTTTTCTTTGTGGATTTTTAATATTATTATTATGGTTGGTTGCACAATCAGCCATATGCTTAGACTGGATTTGGCATTTTTGTCCACGTGTTGAGTCCTTCCCAAGGAACTGGAATAAGCAGATGTTGCTATTTAATAATATTAAAGGTATTGTTGCATTATTATGGTTGGTCACACAGTCAGCCAGATGGTTAGATTGGACATTACATTGTTAATCCACTTATCAAGTTTTTATTCTCAGTTCTCAGCAATGTGAAGTCACAGCTGTTCTTTAGCTGATGTTGGCCTTCATACACATAGAGTTCTTCCCAAGAACCTAGGATGTCATAATGTATTAGCATAGTATATCTGGGAATCCAATTAGTATGGCCTTTTGCAATTGATAAATGGAAATTGATTTTCTAAATGCTGTCCAAGATTTTTTTGTTATGGTACCCTGTGTGCCAATAACCACTAGGAGCACCATTGCCGGTTTATGTCACTTCAATTTCAATTTTCAGATCTTGAAATTATTATTATTTAGTATAAACATGCTACCTATCAAAGTGCCAGTTATGCTTCAGTTATCTGTTAGTTTCCACTTGTTAAGCCGCTTATAAAACAATCCCTTGCAATTGACCTTGGTAGCTGAAGGTAACGGGAGTTGTTTAAAATGAACCTTTGTAGTAATATTTGATCCATGTGTTCTCTATAGAAGCTTCTATATATTCTTTTTATAAAGTTTCAACTGGAAGGTACAGGACATCTGAGATCCCAATGTTTGTATATCCGAATTTATATATCTGTCACACATACGTATATATTGGATAAAATATATTGTAACACCCATTGTCTAATTACTATTGTATAAATGAAAACATTCTTAATGATAATTAGAAACTATATCTAAACCAGTTATTTACCTATGTATAAGAAAAGACTTTACTTTTTAAATTAATGTGCTTTTTTATAAATTAGAATTTACTTGAAGGATATCTGTTCTTTGAAATCTGACTTGGATGCATGAAACATCTTTTCCTCTATAAAATTGATGAAGAAATATTTCTGAGTGAATCTATTCAAGAGAAGTTATCCTTGGAAAATTTGAGAAACTATGTTTTACACCAATCACAGAGCCCCTTAATCCTTAGAAGTGGCTTTGGAAGGCTCATGGAGCAGTAAACAAGAAGTCAGAAAAACATATTGAATAAACAGAGTTCTCCTGTTTTTATTCTTCACAAGTCAGTTGAGCTGTGGATTTTCATCATCTTCCTAATTTTTCAAAATTATTAGTTAGGTTTCCAGTATACTCCTATTGAACTGAATGAGAAAATGAAAATAGCCATTAGTTAAGTTTTAACTGGAATGCATTATTCTTGGCAACTTCTCGGAATGAGACGGAAAATAACTTAGCTTTCTTTATCAGTATCAGTAAATTCCAAGTATACTTAGTCTTTCCTCAGCCCTCCATTTTTCTGATTTCCATATGTATTTCTATATATAGCTTCGTCTTATAACTTCAAGCTGGCTTCATTTTGTCAGAAGTTATATGTTATCTGCAGATTGATTCCCATTTTATTATCAGAGAAAGGAACTGTTTGGACTTCTAATAGTTTTATTTCAGCCAAGTGGTTATTGTTACTGCTTTGCCTTTTCTCAAGGACCTAATAATTCTTAAGTTAGGTCACATTCTTGAATATCATCAATAACCTCTATTGTGGTTTAACTTATTTTGTAATAAATTCATTTTGTTGTTCTAAGCCAGCACATTAAGCCTCCCTTGCAAATTGATACTGTCAAATGAATGGAAGAACTTGAAAAAGTCTTTAATGTCTTCCAAATGAAATGGCAAGATATCAGTCCCATGTGGCTGCTCTAGTCCATAACCATTATACATTTTTTGGCTTTGTTTAATGTAAAAAAGTTCTCCAGCCTGAGGCTTAGCACTTTGTATATATCTGGAATGTATAATTTATTACATAGCATTGAATTTCACTTAATTAGGCCCAGTATTCTTATCCAGCACACTAATAGTCATGTGTCAATTTTTTCTTCTGCACTAGCAAAATGTGGAACGTTGGCCAACCATTATATTGGTATATAATATGTGATAAAAAAACATTGAGAATGTGAAGCTTGAACCATGGTTGATATTTCAGTCTGGGTTTCCAGCTGTGTTGTAATTGATGGTGATGGTAGCTCTTTAGTTTCACTGCACCCTCTGTGTTACAGGGACTTATCCTGATCTTTTTTCTACTGTCAGATAAGCTACAGCCAATATGGGTTTGTGAGACAAAATATTTATAAAATGTGGATACATTTACCATTGTGCACTGCTGATTGAGAAAGCATAATGACTGCAGAGGCCTACTTAAAAAAAATGGACATTGGAGTAAAATCCCCAACCTTTTGGGGCTCTGGGGTCCCCAAAAGACCACTTGGGAAGTGAAAATGGACCAAGGCAGGAGCAAGCAGTCCAGGTTGAGTTGAGTGATGTTCTTTCCTATAACTTCCTTTCTTCACCATTTTAAAAGTACTCTAAAATAAAAAGGTTTGTCAGCTAGATGTGTATACAACAATTCTCATTTTACTTTTTTTTTAATATTTTCTACCATAGATTCATAAGCAGTCATAATTTATTTGATTGACTGTTACAAACAGAAATGATAATTGCAGAACTCTAATAGAGGCCATCTTGTCTATTATTTGCATGTGAAACCACTATGTAATAAGCAGGACTATCAACTGGATTTGGATTTTATTTATTTTAAAAAAAACATGTTAGGTAGCAATGGCCAACTATTATTTTACTATCAGCAGACAAACTGCATAGATTCCTGTACTGTTACCACAGACTGAACTTGACTTAAAGGTGGCCACTTTTTAATAAATGAACCCAGAAATACTTCTCTCCAGTTCTTAAATTCCAGCTAGTTAATATTTTACAAAACTCATGGTAGTAGAAACAGGAAACCTGAATTTGCCTCAGGTAATCTTGCCATGTTCCTGGCTGCACAACAGTTACCTTTAGATAATGGTTCAGTTAGCTTTCAATAATCACCATTGAATACATATTAACAGTTTTCCCAGTTACTTAATCTGAATGATCAAATTTCCCTTTGACTTGTTTTAGCTCATGCTGAAAAGTTTTCACTTCTAGGCAGCAGTAATGTGCACCAGATTGCAAACGTTGAAAAAAAAAAAGTGCCATGATACAATTCCAAAGCCCATTTATATAAGT